AGGGAAAGAAAATGTTCATTTAAATCAGTGTAAATCTGCAATGGCGCTGTGTCCAAAGGACCTCTTCAGGTTCACAATATAGTGATTGCTTGAGGAAAAAATTATGTTTCAGAGACCATCCAAATAATTTTCTTTCACTCAAACAAAAGCAAGAATTTACAGCTAGCAAAGTGGAATGTTATCAGAGCTTGGAAAAAATTAGGGATTTTTGTAATAGAACTCTCAGAACACCCCCTCCAACCCCATCCCCACACACGCACCTACACACGTGTCACACACCCATTTGTTGACTGGGTAATTCTGGAAGTAATAATTCAAAAACATAACATTTCTGGATATTGCCTATAAAAAACTAATACCAATACACAGTCTTCCCAACAATGTTTAAGTCAGATTTCACTGGTGCGTAGGGGACTATATAAAATTTAATTACATGGAGCTACATCAGCATTTGTTCCAACTGGAGAATAATTATAATAATAATGTATTGTCGAAGGCTTTCATGGCCAGAATCACTGGGTTGTTGTAGGTTTTTTTGGGGCTATATGGCCATGTTCTAGAGGCATTCTCTCCTGATGTTTCGCCTGCATCTATGGCAAGCATCATCAGAGGTAGTGAGGACCTCTGTGCTTGCTCATAGATGCAGGCGAAACGTCAGGAGAGAATGCCTCTAGAACATGGCCATATAGCCCGAAAAAACCTACAACAACCCAATAATAATAATAATAATAATAATAATAATAATAACTTTATTTATACCCCGCCACCATCTCCCCAAGGGGACTCGGAGCGGCTTACATGAGGCCAAGCCCAACAACACATCAATAAAAACAACAAGCAATAAGCAAATAAAACAATACAATTAATATAACTCAACATATAGACAATAACACGCAAGGGTTTAAAAACCTATGGCTGGGCCAGATGTAATAGTTTAAAATTTAAAAATAAACGCTGGGCATGATCAGAGGTAGGTAGGATTATCTAGTAGGAGGGATTTAAAAGAAATGTTGGGAGAACCACCCAGTGCTTCTGAGGACATTTTGCAGGGAATTATTTCCTTTATTCAGGGAAGGCACATTGGAACAGCCACGTTTTCATGCTCCTCCTAAAGACTGCCAATGTGGGGGCTTGCCTGATATCCTTGGGAAGTGAGATCCAGAGTCAGGGGCCACCATAGAAAAATGTCACGTTGCCAGGGCTCTGCCTTATTTAGGTAGAGATGAACCAAACTCCCAGTTTTATCAAACAGTTTAATTAAAACAGCACTTACTTGCTGGCTATTTTAATTGACCAAAATATGACAACAGATACTTTTCTCCCAAAGATCAGTCTCAAGGTTAGCTCCTTAAATCCAGTAACACCCAGCTGCAACCCATCTCTTGCACACCTCCACCCTTCATTGCTTTCACCCATGAACTCTTACTTACAGATTACTAAACCCTTTAGAACTAATACATTAACCCTTCCATTGCCAAGCACCATCAACTGCAGAACATATGACAAGAAGACCCTATCCCTCGTCCCCATCAATCGTGCCTGCGAAAGGGCGGGAGCGAGAGCAGGGCCTCCCCAGATGATCAAAGAGATTGCGTGAGTTTGTACACCGAAATGCGGTCACGCAAGTAGGCGGGACCCAAACCGTTCAGGGTTTTGTAGGTAAGAACCTCCACCTTGAATTGGGACCGGAAAATGAACGGCAGCCAATGGAGCTCCTTGAAACACCCAGTGAAATCAGTGTGACTTACAGAAGTAGCAACTATCAGTTGCCTTTCCTTTCCATGCAGTCTATTCACACAGGGCATAACATTGGACTTTGCTCAAGACCTGTTCTTGAGTACCACTCGGAAATAGCATGTTTGCTACTTTGCCTCACTCCCCTGCCATTTTGATAACGAAAGATAACTGAACGAACTTTGGATGGCTGAAATCACGTTGTGAAGCACAGTTAGATCTTATATGAACTTTGCTTTGCATATTGGCCTGCACTTACAGAACTGTCCTGCAATGTTTCAGTGAGATAAGATTTCATCAGAGTGTTGCAGGATCCAGCCTCTATGGAGGATTTCTACTAAGTTCAAAATAAGCTCTGGATTTCGATGCATAAAGCACCCTTTTGTGAGCTTTCCTTTTCAGTCTCTCACACACTTCCATCTGTTCATTGAAGCTCATCTCCTGGCTTTGCAGGTATAGGATTTAGCCAATTCGGGCAGTCCCCAAGTTGCAAACATCCAACTTACAAATAACTCATAGTTAAGAATGGGGTGAGACAACAAGAGGTGAGAGGTGGGAAATTCACTCCTGGAAGAGTTATTATCATGGGGAAAAGGTGGCTCCAGTGAAGCTTTCTCACCAATCCTTGTTTCCACAACAAGCCGCATTTTTCAAAATCCAATTATCACAGGGACAGAAAATGAGGTGAAATTTTCAGAATGGAGGCACAGAGAGCAAAACAAACATTTGTTGTTGTTCATTCGTTCAGTCGTCTCCGACTCTTCGTGACCTCATGGACCAGCCCACGCCAGAGCTCCCTGTCGGCCGTCACCACCCCCAGCTCCTTCAAGGTCAGTCCAGTCACTTCAAGGATGCCATCCATCCATCTTGCCCTTCCTTGTGTTATTGAAAGCTAAAAGATATATAACATGAAAATATGAATGATGAACATGGAATGACCAGATGATGTTACTGGAAAATGATTTTAACAAGATGTCATCGGTGATTACATGTTTTAGTGGTTTTTAAATGTGTTTTTATATAAAAATCACAAGCCGTTCAACCCCACAACCATTGTCTTGCGGGGTTGCACCTGTTCAACCCCACAACTATTGTCTTGTGGGGTTCCTCAGGGTTCAATACTGTCACCCATGTTGTTTATCATCTACATGAAGCCGCTGGGGGAGGTCATCCAGAGTTTCGGGGTGCAGTGTCACCTGTACGCAGATGACGTCCAACTCTGTTACTCCTTCCTACCTACTACTAAGGGGGCTGTTCGGGTCCTGAACTGGTGCTTGGCCACTGTGTTGGACTGAATGAGGGTGAACAAATTGAAATTGAATCTAGACAAGACAGTGGTACTCCTGGTCAGTTGCAAGGCCAAACAGGGGGACATAGGGTTACAGCCTGTGTTGGACGGGGTTACATTCCTCCTGAAGATGCAGGTTCGCAGCTTGGGTGAGATTCTGGACTGATCGCTGAGCCTGGAAGCCCAGGTTTCGGCAGTGACCAGGGGAGCATTTGCACAGTTAAAACTTGTGCGTCAGCTGCATCCGCACCTTGGGAAGTCTGACTTTGCTACGGTAGTCCACGCTCTGGTTACATCCCGTAGAGACTACTGCAACGTGCTCTACTTGGGGCTGCCTTTGAAGACTGTTTGGAGCTTCAGTTGGTCCAATGGACAGCAACCAGGTTGTTAACAGGAGCAGCGCTCAGGGAGCACGCAACTCCTCTGTTGTGCCAGCTCCACTGGCTGCCAGTTTGCTATTGGGCACAATTCAAAGTGCTGGCTTTAACCTTTAAAGCTCTAAATGGTTCCGGCCCAGTTTACCTGTCCGAATGCATCTCTCCCTATGAACCATCTAGGTGTTTAAGATCATCTGGGGAGGCCCTGCTCTCAGATTCTTTGCAGATCCAATTGGCGGGAATGAGAGACAGGGCCTTCTCGGTGGTGGCCCCCCGGCTATGGAACACCCTCCCTAGGGATATTAGATCACCCCCCTCCCTCCTAACATTTTGAAAGAGAGTTAAAATCTGGCTGTTTGAGCAGCATTTGCAGACGCAGTATAACTGATTAATTGAGACTCATGGAACGATTGGACGATGTGACGGAAAATTTTAATGATGAGACGCTGAGGACTTGTACTTTATGGTTTTTAATTGTTTCATTGCTTTTATATGGTATATATTAAATGTAATGTTTTTGATTGTATTTTATTTGTGGGGCATTGATTGCCAACTGTAAACCTCCTCGAGGTGCTTCCAACCTGAGAGGGGCGGTATACAAATATAGTAAATAAATAAATAAATAAATAGTTATGTTGACTGTTTTTAATCACACTTTTATGAATGCATGGCATCGAATCGTGCCAATCTGTGTAACCCTCCTTGAGTCGCCATATGGTTGAGAAATGCAGGCTATAAATGTTGTAAATAAAATAAATAAATATATAGTTGGCTGGAGTTACATTTTAAAAATGTACCTGTTCTGACTTACAGACTAATTCAACTTAAGAACAAACCTACAGAACCTATCTTGTTCATAACTGGGAGACTACCTGTACATTGTTCCTTTTAAAATTCTGTGTATGTTGGTTTAATCTCCTCTGACCTTAAATCTCAAGGTTGAGTGTCTTTGAAGAACACCCTTGTTGGTTTCTGAATAATTCCTTGAGATCGAGTAGCTACACACCTTTGTTTGCCCCTTCATTCTTAACTGAGTACTCCTCCATCTCCTTTAAACTGGGGTGTTCATACAGGAAGATCAGCCACAAGCCTTTCCCTATGCATTGTCTTTTTCACAACGTGTAGTGAACAATGTGTTAACTTAATTTTATGTTGGATATCCAGGAGAATATTAGATAACCTAAGACACCTTTTTGAAACATCAACCTCCTGGGACTAAAGTTGTCCCTTCTCATTCGCAGTTTCGACTTTTGCAGATTTTATTAAATGTTTCTCTCTATGAATCTCTAGGTCTTCCAGTGTGAATCCATGGTGGACTTTCCTCAGCCATGCTGAAGGACCTAGAAACTTCTAAACATGACATCTTTCTATGAATCTTTAGGTCCTCTAACGTAATTCTGTGGTCTGCTTCCAGTGGAAATCAACCATAAAGTCATACTGGAAGACCTAGAAATTCCTAGAGAGGTGTTTTCTCATGTAAACCATTAGCAATTCCTTTATTTGTGGCTTTCCAGTATTAAGGGTTCATGATAACCTCAGTGAATGTGGAGGGCTGACTATAGTATGAAAAAACTCAACCATTCAACCACTTTCTGTCCTAGGAATGTATCCTTTCGGGCATCATGTCTGTGAATGGCAAGAAGGTCTTGCACATGGACCGGAATCCATACTACGGGGGCGAGAGCTCATCCATTACTCCCTTGGAAGAGGTGAGGTATCAGGAACAGTCTATGTGCACATTTACTTTTGTTAGAAATGTTCTCAATCCTAATCCCTACTGGACCATGAGCCGATTTGTCACCTTAGACAAAGACCTTCTCTCTTGGCCTCCCTACCTGTAATAAGGGAGAAAACATTAAAGAGTTACTGAGATAATGTATATGAACCATTTTGAACCCTAAGAAAAAGATCTATTTAATAATTCCTGTTCGTGGGGGAAAAAGATCTTATTTCCGTTCTTTAAGGAAAGTTAGCAATCTTTCTTTGACTGATACAGCTGAAATCAATCCTCCTGTATTTTGCTGGCACTGGAATTGTTGTTCTGTATTAGTAAATTGAATTTTAAATTACCATATATTCTGGCGTATAAGACTACTTATTAACCTAAGAAAATCTCAAAAGTCAGGGGTTGTCTTATACGTGGGAGTTGTCTTATATGCTGGAGTAGCCTTATGCATGGGGGTCGTCTTATATGTGGGGGTCGTCTTATCCGTGGGGGTCATCTTCTATGTGGAGTCGTCGTATACGCTAGAGTAGCCTTATGCATGGGAGTCGTCTTATATGCAGGAGTAGTCTTATACGCTGGGAGTCGTCTTATAGAGCACGTGCTGAAACTTCTAATCTGGATTGGAGAATATGTGGTTGCTGCATATTGTGGGGGGAGCTCAAAAATGGCAGTGGCCACGTTCCTGCCGTATGCAGCGACTGTATGAAAGCATTAAGGGCGACGCTGTATAAATACGGTAGAAGAAAATCCATTCATCAGGATTCGTGGACTTAATGCGTTCCCAATGGTGAGGTGAAGGGGTGCCTCACCGGGAAGGTGTAAGTGAAGGGGCGTCTCAACGGGAAGGTGTAAGTGAAGGGGGCTCCGGAGGAAGCCGCAGGCCTCCAGGGCCCCCGGGGTATGGAAAAAAGAGATAGAGTGGCTCTGGGCCCAGAAAAACACACCTCTTTTACCTGTCTGGCCCACCCTTGTATCCTATTACTGTACCTCCTCCTCTGCCTCTCAGATCTCGCTCCTGAAGACTGCAGTGAAGTGCGAGATCTGAGAGGCAGAGAAGGAGGTACAGTGATAGGAAAATTACCATATTCAAATCAAATCTGATGCTTTAAAATTTTTATTTGGTGTGTGTTGGAAGAGGGGTAGTCTTATTCAGCGAGTATATCCCAAACTCTATATTTTAATATTATATCCAATATTATATGTTGGAAAAGTTGGGGATCGTCTTATACGCCCAGTCGTCTTATATGCTGGAATATACAGGTAAATTGTGTGGTTTTTCTCCCCCTTAATCACCAGCTCTACAAGCGCTTTGAGATCGCAGAGGGGCCCTCTGAATCTATGGGGCGTGGAAGGGACTGGAATGTTGACCTTATCCCCAAATTCCTCATGGCAAATGGTAAGTCAGTTTCCATTTGGTCCATAGGTTAAAGAGGTGGTGCCCTTTTTTCTGAAAGAGGGCTTAAGATAAGTTGCAAAATGCTTGTAGAACAGCTCCTCCGCATGATTTCACCTATAGCATCCATCTCTTCCACTTAGTATAGCCAATGGTAAGGGATTGTGGGATTCTGGTCCTAAACATCTGGCACATTATTCGTTTCCTACTCCTTCTGTAGAAGGACAATACACAATGGTGTAAGACAACCTTTCCTGCTGGTAGCACTATGACATGTGTTGGTGTACCAGCATAGGCCAGGACTTTGCATGCAGTTGACTGGTACTGATGGACCATAGTTTCTACAGTCCTTGGAGCTCTCTTTCTTATGCCCCCAACTCTATCTATACCAACCAATACTAGTAGTGTTTCACCATTTGTTTGCAGCTTCTTGTAATCCAGGGGTTCTCAACCTTCCTAATGCCGTGACCCCTTAATACAGTCCCTCACGTTGTGGTGACCCCCAACCATAATATTGTTTTCGTTGCTACTTCATAACAGTCATTTTACTACTGTTATACATCATAATGTAAATATCTGATATGCGGGATGCATTTTCATTTACTGGACCAAACTGGGCACAAATACTCAATACACCCAAATGTGAATGCTAGTGGGGTTGCGGAAGGATTGATTTTGTAATTTGGGAGTTGTAGTTGCTGGGTTTTATAGTTCACTTATAATCAAAGAGCATTCTGAACTCCACCAGCGATGGATTTGAACCAAACTTGGCTCCCATGACCAATGGAAAGCACTGGAAGGGTTTGATGGGCATTGACCTTGAGTTTGGGAGTTGTAGTTCACCTATATCCAGAGAGCACTGTGGACTCATGCAATGGTTGATCTGGACCAAACTTGGCACGAATACTCAATATGCCAAATGTGAACACTGGTGGAGTTTGAGGAAAATAGATCTTGACATTTGGGAGTTGTAGTTGCTGGGATTTATAGTTCATTACAATCAGAGAACATTCTGAACTCCACCAACGATAGAATTGGCTCAAACTTCCCACATGGAATCCCCATGACCATCAGGAAATACTGTGCTTTCTTATGGTCTTTGGTGACCCCTCTGACACCCCCTCGTGACCCCCTCAGGGGTCCCGACCCCCAGGTTGAGAAACACTGTTGTAATCTATCCTTTTTGTCTGGTTTTTCAATGTTTTTCTTTCTGTATTTGATATTTTAAATGCTTTTCTTTGTTGTTGTTGCATTGACTATCTTGACAGGCTGAGAGGTAACAGATAAAAGCTTTAAATAAATAATAAGTTGGCTAATCTTTCTGCTCTGGGTGTGGGAGCTTCCTACGGAGACTAGTAAAAGGTTGCCTTCTGTTATGTAGGCCAGCTGGTGAAGATGCTGCTGTATACGGAAGTGACGCGCTACCTGGACTTCAAAGTGGTGGAGGGCAGCTTTGTATACAAAGCAGGGAAGATCTATAAGGTGCCGTCAACAGAGACAGAAGCCCTGGCATCCAGTGAGTAGATCTGGATTAAACAAGTTTCTCCTCCAAAATTTTTGTCTGTCTTTGGATCTGAATTTACTTACATTTCCTTTCAATTTAACATGTGTATCTTGCTGTTTATTTTTGTTTATTGCTTGTTGTTTTCATTATTGCTTGTTGTTTTTGATGTGTTGTTGGGCTTGGCCTCATGTAAGCCGCTCCGAGTCCATTGGGAAGATGGTGGCGGGGTATAAATAAAGTTGCTATTATTATTATTATTATTATTATTATTATTGCTTTGTAATCCATTAGTGAGCTCTCTAAGCAGTTACAAATACACTCAGGTATATTCAGTGTAAAAGAGCTGTAAGAGCACAGCCCAAAATCAACTGAAGCCAGCCCATAGTAATAGCAGTAGCAAGATAATTTTACAAACAGTGCTTTTGAAACTTTTGATAGCCAAGCTACACTTAATTCTTTTTGAATGGAACTTGGAAGTGTGCTGCTCTTTTACACTTGCAAAGGTTTACCATTTGAGAATAGCATGTATTCTACTCTTCTACCACCATGAGCAGAGTAACATGTATGGAAATAACTTATTTGAGGGCAGGTACAGTTAAATTTTACACCTTTATACTGTTGTGGTAGCAGGCAACAGACTTAACTCAATCCCAGAAGAGAGATAAAGTCAACACAACCAATTGTACAGAGGTTCCACTGGGCAGCCATTCGTTCTTGAATAACTTTTATTTTTTAAAACACTAATTCTGTCGAAGGTTGTTCCCGAGCAACAATCACTTGCCTAAACAGAAACATTTTTGACACATTTTATTCATTTTAAGTTGTTACCTGAGATATTGGAATCCAGAAATGAACTGACGATTCTAGTTTTTACCTTTCACAAATGCAAAGTTGCTTTGTAGATGCTTCATAAATCTCCTCCAGGCTTGGAAGGAGAACAGGGACTCCCATCTCTTTTGCTCCTCTCCTGAGGGAGCAATTTATTATCCACTGGCTGTATCCGCCACGTGTTGCTGTGGCCAGCCTTCCCTCTCTCTTTCTCTCCTTCCGTTGGCTCCCCTTTCCTTCCTTCCTTCCTTCCTTCCTTCCTTCCTTCCTTCCTTCCTTCCTTCCTTCCTTCCTTCCCTCCCTCCCTCCCTCCCTCCCTCCCTCCCTCCCTCCCTCCTTCCTCCTTCCCTCCTTCCCTTTTCTTCTTTCCTTCTCTCCTTCCTTCCTTCTTTACCTCCTTCCTTCCTTCCTTCCTTCCTTCCTTCCTTCCCCCTTTTTGTTTCTCTCCTTTTTTCCTTCTCTACCTCTTTCCTTCCTTCCCTTGCTTTTTGCTTCCATCCTTCCATCTCTCTCTTCCTTCCTTCACTTTTTGCTTCTGTCCTTCCTTCTCTCTTTCCTTCCCCTCCCTCTTTCCTTCCTTCCCTTTTTCCTTTCCTTCTCTCCTTCCTTCTCTACCTCTTTCCTTCCTTCCCCCTTTTTCTTTTCCTCTTTCTCTCCTTTCTTGGAAAAAATAGACCCCTTCCTCCTCCCTTCCTTCCTTCCTTCCTTCCTTCCTTCCCTCCCTCCCTCCCTCCCTCCCTCCCTCCTCTCCTTCCTTCCTTCCTCCTCCTCCTCCCTCCCTCCTTCCCTCCCTCCCTCCCTCCCTCCCTCCTTCCCTCCCTCCTCCTTCCTTCCTTCCTCCCCTTCCCCCTTCCTTCCTTCCTTCTTCTTCCTTCCTCCTCCTCCTCCTCCTTCCTCCCTCCCCCCCTCCCTCCCCTCCCTCCCTCCTCCCCTCCTTCTCCCTCCCTCCCTCCTTCTTCCCTTCCCTTCCCCCTTCCCCTTCCCCTTCCCCTTCCCCCTTCCCCTTCCCCCTTCCCCCTTCCCCCTTCCCCCTTCCCCCTTCCCCTTCCCCTTCCCCCTTCCCCCTTCCCCCTTCCCCTTCCCCTTCCTCCTTCCTTCCTCCTTCCTTCCTTCCTTCCTTCCTTCCTTCCTTCCTTCCTTCCTTCCTTCCTTCCCTTTTTTCCTGTAGCTTTTTGTCATTTGGCTTTTTTGGGTTTTTAAGTCCATTCTGCTGTTTTTTTGGGGGGGGGGGTATGAGTGATTGTCACTCGTTGGTCTGTTAGGGGTATAGCGTCAAAATTTCATGTCAATTCGTCCAGTGGTTTTTGAGCTATGTTAATCCCACAAATGAACATTACATTTTTATTTCTATAGATTGACAACTTGAAATCCCTTCACCTGGAAATGCCGCAGAGTGGATCTGGGTCCATCACAGGCAAAATGGTTTTTCTCTAGTGAGCCAATACCACAGTAATTCAAACAGAAGTCTCCAGTCCACCCACCTTCTCCGCTTATCTCACGTCTCTTTCAGATCTCATGGGCATGTTTGAGAAGAGGCGCTTCCGCAAGTTCCTAGTGTTTGTGGCGAACTTTGATGAGAATGACTCAAAGACACTGGAGGGTGTGGATCCTCAAAACACCACCATGCGCGAGGTCTACCGGCGCTTTGATCTGGGTCAGGATGTCATCGACTTTACAGGACATGCACTGGCACTCTACCGGACCGATGAGTGAGTGATTCATCAGAATCCCCCCGGATTGCAGAGTGCCCCATTCTGTGTTTTTTTCATTCCTGCTTATTTGATTAATGAAGTAATTAATTAATTCCATTTATATCTTACCAAGGGGCTTGAAGTGGTTGTGTGTCATGTTGTCCCCCATGTTTCTATTAGCAATTTCCATTAGTAATCAGGGGAGGGTCAATTTTGATGTTTTATACTGGGTTTTTTTTTTTTATATTAATGGCATTGAATTGTTGTAAATACTGTGAACTGCTCCGAGTCCCCTTCAGGGTTGAGAAGGGCTGTATACTGTAAATAAATAAATAAATTTATAGTGGGAGACTGATAAGCTGAGGGTAACAATAAAAGTAGTCTGATGTTCTTCCCAGCACTGTTTGGTTGGTTCTGGGGATGGGGAAAACACTTTCTATGGAAGCCATATTTGCAAAATGGAGAGGGTTTTTTTTTTGCTTCCTTTTATGCTATGCTAACCAAGGCAGCCTGTTTTTCTCTCTCTTTCCACAGTTACTTGGATCAGCCCTGCTTGGAGACCATCAATCGTATCAAACTGTATAGTGAATCCCTGGCCCGCTATGGGAAGAGCCCCTACCTCTACCCGCTTTATGGCCTGGGAGAACTTCCTCAGGGCTTTGCCAGGTACTGATTCTCAAGGGCATGGAAGAGAAATGGGAATCATGGGCCCTTGAGATGTTTTTGGGCTGCAACTCATAGAATTTCTCGCCATTTGCTAATCTACTCTGGTCTTCTGGGAGTTGCAGTCAACCTCTGGAGGACTGCTTTTTGTAGATAGTATTATTATTCCCTTACAAACTGTGAATGGGCCCCTGCATTTTTATAATATACTCTACGTTTTTGTTGATGATGTTTATTCATTCAGTCGCTTCCGACTCTTTGTGACCTCATGGACCAGCCCATGCCAGAGCTCCCTGTTTTTGTTTTAGAAAATTAAATTATTTTATTTATTTATTTATTTAAAACTTTTATATCCCGATGTACTCTAACCTCCGTAGAGGGATTCAGACCGGCTCATAACAGGATTCAATACTAATAGTACAATCTAAAAACATCACACAATAACAACAACTTAAAATACATATAGATTAAATTTACAAATAAGCCAAGATAAAATCATGTCCAACTCAGTCGGTATGTGTGGTCGATAACTTTGTTCTGTAGCCGGTTTCAGCCATTACTCTGGGAATGCTTCCTTCCATAGCCAGGATTTCACCACCCTCCTGAAGGATAGGAGGGAAGGGGCAGATATGATCTCAATCGGGAGAGTGTTCCAGAGCCACCGGGGCCACCACAGAAAAGGCCCTGTCCCTCGTTCCCGCCAGCAGCGATTGCGAAAGTGGCAGGACCGAGAGCAGGGCTCCACCAGAAGACCTTGACTGTCTTGATGGTTCATAGGGGAGAATACATTTGGACAGGTAAACCGGGCTGGAACCATATAGGGTTTTGTAGGTTAAGACCAGCACTTTGAATTGTGCTCGGAAGCTAATTGGCAGCCAGTGGAGCTGGCGCAACAAAGGAGTTGTGCGCTTACTGTACCCCGCTCCCGTTAGTAATCTGGCTGCCGAACATTGGACTAATTGCAGCTTCTTTTTACTATCAGCTCAAGGAAATAAAAGCTGTGCTGATACTAAGGAAGATACAAGGAATGGGTTACTGTGAGTTTTCTGGGCTGTATGGCCATTTTCCAGAAACATACTTTCCTGATTTTTCGCTCACATCTATGGCAGGCATCCTCAGGTGAAGCGTCAGGAGGGAATGCTTCTGGAACATGGCCAAACAGCCTGGAAAACTCACAACAACCCAGTGATTCTGGCCATGAAAGCCTTCGACAACACGGTATCAGGAATAGTAGGAGTGAGGGGATTTTTACATTCTTAAGGTTAGCAGAATTGTTTTGTTCTGTGTGTTCTGTGCTTGGGGTGGGGCACAGAGCTCAGAACACACCCTTCATCAGCCACCTTCTTCACGCCCCCAGGCTCAGCGCTATCTATGGTGGCACCTACATGCTCAACAAGCCAGTGGATGAGATTGTCATGGAAGGCGGAAAGGTCATTGGGGTCAAGTCAGAGGGAGAGGTAAGCAGAAGCTGGAAAATTCCTTCTGGAGCAGGGAGTAATTGGAAGATTGTTTCTGAAACAAGTGGTACCAAATCCTAATGTTATGAGAGGTCTGAATGTTCATGTTATTTACCTGTATCCAGAATCCACTTTTATCTTTTCATAATCCTTCTTCAAGCTAATTGAGTTTACACAGACTCACAGATGAAATGGAGAACCATTCCTTCTCCTTCCTATGTGATTTGTCAGATAATTCCAGTTCTTCTTTATACTTGATTTAATGGCTTATGGTCAGGGCCAACTTGAAGCATTTTGCTGCCTGAGACATACAGCCAGGTCCAGGTGTATAGTACCCAAAACCAACCTACTTTATAATAATAATAAATAATAATAAACTTTATTTATACCCCGCCACCATCTCCCCAACGGGTACTCGGCGCAGCTTACATGAGGCCAAGCCCAAACAACAATTACAATAAAATAAGATACAAGTTACAATAAAATAAACAACATTGCAGTAAAATACAGAACGTATAACTACAATAACCAAAATACAAAAAAAGCAGAAAACCAAACATAATGGCAGTGAGCGGGCTGCATGTACATAAAATGATTTTATAGTACAGAAAATTTCATAATCTCATTTCTCCATCTCTAGCAAGATCGATAGAAGGATAGAAAGATAAATAAATATTTTGCTACAATTTTATTACACTCCAGATCTGCCTTATATTAGGGAGGCCCTGCATTTGGTGTGTACATAAAGTGAAGCACACTATTTCTTCAGCTCCACTATAGCATGGTAAAACAAAAGGGAAGCTTCTGAAATGTTTTTCAGCTCTTATTTTCATTATTTACATGGTCAGCTTAAATTAAGGTGGGGCATTTACGGAAGGTGCAAAGTAGTGGCTCAGAGATTTAAGTGTAGATCTTTTGAATGAGATGCCTCTGAATATGTGCTCAGAAGTGTGCTCTTTTCAGTACCAGAATTAAAGTGACAGTCCTTTCATACAAAAACCTGCTTCTGGTTACCTCCAAGCTTCCTTCATTTCAAGGCATCTAATTTATAAAAAGAAAACATGTTTTTCTTTATATGTTTCTGAACCTTTATATGACTTGTTCAGTATCAAGGCATCCAAACAGTAAAACAAACATAACAAAATGGAGAATGGCAGAATTTCCACATCTAGTTGCATCTGAGATAGAAAGGCTGGCCTCTCCCCACATGCTTTTGGTAATGTTGACTTTGCCATCCCAGGTGGCACGCTGCCAGCAGCTGATCTGCGACCCAAGCTACATACCTGACAGGGTGCGCCCAGCGGGGAAGGTGGTGCGTGTCATCTGCATCCTGAGCCACCCTATCCGTGGCACCAGTGACGCCAATTCCTGTCAAATCATCATCCCCCAGAATCAAGTGGGGCGCAAGTCTGGTGAGTGCTAATGGATGTAGAGTTTGGCAGGGTAGGAATGGGGAAAGCAGAAATGTACTTGGCTGTGAACAACTTCTGCAGAATGGTGTGCCATGTTACAAGTGCTTTCTAACAGTACATCTTTCTGAAGCCTTTCTTTCACAGGATCGTGAGATTAGGCCAAATGGGTGTAGTGAAGAACTGCAGTGTAACTGACATAAAAATCTTCCTTATACTCAGTCTATTGGTCTGTCTAATTCACTTGTGGATCTAGTGCAGCCAGAACCACGTTGTTGTGGCCTCTAAACTCTTCTGAAATAAAAGAAATTACAGCACAATTTTCAGGCAGCTTTTGTCACACAACTATGCAAAAAAGACCCTGAACACATGGGAAATATACCTCTGTGTTGTATATCTATTATTATTATTATTATTATTATTATTATTATTATTATTTGAAACATCACAAGATGAGTCCACAGCAGACACTGTGCTGGCTGTTGAATTGGATCACGTCGGACACTTCCCAAGTGTCTAGGACTATGTGATGTATTGGCGAATAAGGAGTGCAGAGCCCAGTAAGGTGGCCTTCTGCAACTGGCAGATGGTAATTTTGTCAGCGCCGATTGTGTTTAAGTGCAGGCCAAGATCTTTAGGCACTGCACCCAGTGCGCCGATCACCACTGGGACCACCTTGACTGGTTTGTGCCAGAGTCTTTGCAGTTAGATCTTTAAATCCTCATATCGTGTCAGCTTTTCCTGTTGTTTCTCTGCAATTTTGCTGTTATCTGGAATTGCGACATCGACGATCCATACTTTGCTTTTTAACACGATTGTGAGGTCAGGAGTGTTGTGTTCCAGAACTGTCTGTCTGAATTCGGAAGTCCCAGAGGAGTTTGGCATTATTATTATTATTATTATTATTATTATTATTATTATTATTAGAAACACAGCAAGATGAGTCCACAGCAGACACTCTGCTGGTTGTTGTATTGGATCACTATTATTATTATTATTATTATTATTATTATTATTATTATTATTATTCACCCCCCATAAATACCCCCAAACTCCACTGTTCTGCCACATATCTAGCCCCTCTCAAAATGGCAACAGGAAGAGATGCAGCATTACTTCCTGTTGCCATGTTGACAGAAGAGAAAAATAGGTATTTGGGCTTGCTGGAGGGTGTGGTGTGTGGCATTGACACCCATAAGAGAGTTTGCTGTAAACTGATCCTTTGGCCCCAACCCAAACATATATTGTCTGTTCCATGTAGACTGCCAGCAGCTTTTCAGCGCTTCAGATAAGACTTTTCCAGCCCTGTCTGGGGTTTAAACCTGACACATTTCACATGCAGAGAAAGGATTCTTGTCCCTAAAGATATAGCTGCTTCCCTTTACAGTTTCTTTCCACATTTATGGGCCTAACTTGAGGAGACCTGAGTAATATGTTCTCTTCTAGGAACCGTACATGTTCCAGGACTCTATAGTTAACTTGCACTGAAATTTGACTATAGAAATGTGTTGGAAGACCTAGAGCAGGGGTCCCCAAACTAAGGCCCGAGGGCCAGATACAGCCCTCCAAGGTCATTTACCCGGCCCTTGCTCTCAGGGTCAACCTAAGTCTGAAACGACTTGAAAGCACACAACAACAACAACCCTATCTCATCAGCCAAAAGCAGGTCCACACTTCCCACTGAAATACTAATAAGTTCATATTTGTTAAAATTGTTCTTCATTTTAATTATTGTATTGTTTTTAAGTGTCTTTTGCACTACAAATTAAATATGTGCAGTGTGCATAGGAATTCATTCATGTTTTTTTTTTTCAAATTATAATCCAGCCCTTCAGCGGTTTGAGGGACTGTGACCTGGCCCTCTGTTTAAAAGGTTTGAGGACCCCTAACCTAGAGCTTCCTATATTGAACATTTCTCTAGGAACCAGGGGATGTTTCTTTTAGCTAGTGAAGAAGTTTATTTTTCTACCCTGCCTCTTTCTCCCCAAAGGGACTCGGGGCGGCTTACATGGGGCCCAAGCCCCAGGTAGAATACAATTAAAAACAGCATAACAATATATTGTCGAAGGCTTTCATGGCCAGAATCACTGGGTTGTTGTAGGTTTTTCCGGGCTATATGGCCATGTTCTAGAGGCATTTTCTCCTGATGTTTTGCCTGCATCTATGGCAAGCATCCTCAGAGATAGTGAGGTCTGTTGGAAGTAGGAATGCTTGCCATAGATGCAGGCAAAACGTCAGGAGAAAATGCCTCTAGAACATGGCCATATAGCCCGGAAAAACCTACAACAACCCAGCATAACAATAGCTAGCAACAAGAATAACAGCAGACTAATTTTGGAGCGGGGGGAACAGTAGGCCCTCAATTTTTCAGAGTTTTGCTGCTGAGCATCTAAAGTGGAAAAATGGCAAAACTCTTTTTGTGTGTCTCAGAAGACTTCTCTAGGAATCTCTAGCTCCTCCAGGTTGGTCAGCTACCACCAGGTAATCCTTCTGACTCTTTCTTTCTCCCTCTTTCCCATCCAGACATCTATGTCTGCCTCATCTCATCTGCCCACAATGTAGCTGCCCAGGGCAAGTACATTGCTATTGTGAGCACTACTGTGGAGACGGACTCACCTGAGAATGAAGTGCAACCAGCCCTTGAGCTGCTTGAACCTATCGACCAAAAGTGAGTGTTCTGGGTGGTGGGTTATTTATTTATCGTGTCAGGAGCAACCAGAGTTTTGTAAGACATTTGTATTACAGGGGGTGGTGGATGGGAACGAGGGAGAAAGGCAGTTTTCAGGGGATGCTGCTGTCCGGAATTGTCACATGATTTTCTGCCTGAAATTGACATGCTAAAATAAGTAGGGAAGAATCATGTGGTTCTTCATGAGGTCATGAAGTTATTTATGAGAAGAGTTAAGGAGTTGATGAGCAAAGGCAAGGAGAGTGACTAAGCAGAACCACAATTGAGAAGACAGGTTGACTTGGTCAATTCTTGTAAATGTAATGACATTTTTGTTATGAGGGCTGTAACTGCTTTAGAGTGCACATTACAACATCAACCCTCTGTGATGGTGGGAAAAATGGTTCATTCCAGTCTTCCAGTATGCTTGGGCGTTCTGCATTGAGTATTCAATTGTATGAATCGAATCTGTAGTCCAGATATACGTTTACCACTTCATCTAAAAAAAGCCAACCCTGAAAAAATACAGGGTGAGGCAGCATAACTTCCTTTTTTCAAAACTTAATATGAATCAGAATGTTTTATATATATAATGTAGTTGCATACCTAAAGTTTTGTTTTACGTAGTTTTGAAGATCAGATTAGGTAGGTGACGTCCCCCATTCTCCATACACTGAGTAAACCGATTTCTGGCATTTGTCATGACTCTTGCCAGCATAGCAGGTGTTATGTTGGCAATTTCTTCCTGGATGTTGGTCTTCAAATCTTGTAGGGTCCTTGGACAGTTCACATAAACACAGGATTTCAAAAAACCCCATAGAAAAAAATCACAAGGGGCCAAATCTGGAGAGCGGGCCGGCCACTCCAAATCCGCTCGAAAAGTAGGCCTCAACGGCAAAAGCACGCTCCTCACTGTTCCAACGCATGATGGTGACTGAACTGTGTCAGGACAAAACTTTATACTCCCGCCTCTCCAACGAGACCACTAGCGCTCCGCTACATCTTCAACCGACTGAATGACACGCATTTTAAAAAAAGAAGTTATGCTGCCTCACCCTGTACAAACAACCAAAATGACCGGAGGGTATGTTGAGGAGTAAGGAGACAAAGAGGAAGAGGTGGAAGCTTGTTGAGAGATGGACATTTAATAAACTAAAAGTCTTATATAAGATCTGAAGAGGGCCATGGAGAGAAACGATGAACCATCTTTTGGGGCAGCATGTTGTCGGTAAAACTCAACAGAGACCTTAGAAATTCTGAGATGCTGATAGGGATCTGTATTGAAAGTACTTTGAAAGAGGGTCACTGTAGGTATGTGCACTAATCTCTGTCCTACTTGTGGTAAATAGGATTAGCAGGTTTCTGTGTCCTGTCAAAAACTGGCAAATCTGCTTGATTAAAAAAGATATATTGTGGAGTTTGTGCATATATTCTCCCAAGACTTTCACAGAGGATTGAACCATTCTCAACGTTCCCTGCTAGTGTTGGCTGTACTGGTTGTGCATGGTAGGATTTGGGATCAAACACATCTTCTCCTATGAACCAGCTAGGACATTAAGATCATCTGGGGAGGCCTGGGGAGACCAGGTACATCTGGCGGGGACGAGAGACAGGGCCTTCTCAGTGGTGGCCCCTCGGCTGTGGAACGCCCTTCCTACAGAAATTAGATCGGCCCCCTCCCTATTGGCATTTCGGAGGAAAGTGAAGACCTGGTTGTTCGAGCAGGCATTTGAATAGGCAGTGTAATTAATATAGGAATATGGAACAACAGATTGAGATTGAATCTTGATTCTACTTGAGATGTTATATTGATGTTTAACTGTTTATTATGTTATTGCTTTAATTGTTTTTAAACTGTTTTTATGATGTTGAGCATTGAATTTTGCTATTGTTAACCGCTTTGAGTCACCCAGGGGCTGAGAAAAGTGGTATATAAATGAAGTAAATAAATAAATAAATCTGATGAGTGCCTGGTTATACTATTAGACCCAAAGCCTTTTTTGTACCTCAGGCTGGGTCTATACTGCCATATAACACAGATTATCTAATCAAATAATCCAGATTATATTGTTTGAACTGTATTATATGAGTCTACACTGCCATATAATCCAGTTTAAAGCAGATAATCTGGATTTTACATTGCAGTATAGATGGGGCCTTAGGCTGTAATGCCAATTTTCTTACCAAACTTTTTTCCTTATAGGTTTGTGGCCATCAGTGATATATATGAACCTACTGATGATGGAACTGAAAGTCAGGTGAGGCTCTCTGGTACTTTTAAAGGGCTCCAGAAGGTGAAAAAATGAGCACACTTGGCTGGATCCAAAGTTGGCTCTCAAAAAAGTTTTGGCTCCTCCCCCCCCCCCTTTCCCCACCTTCTCTGCCCCATCTTATACACTGGTATTGTTTGTGTCTCCTGACTTTCTTCACACAGATATTCTGCTCACGGTCATACGATGCCACCACTCACTTCGAGACAACATGTGATGACATCAAAGACATTTACCGGCGCATGGCAGGGGCTCCCTTTGACTTCGAGAGCATGAAACGGCGCCAGAATGATGTCTTTGGCGAGGACGAGCAGTGACCACACTCATTCCTTCCCTGTCCCTCCTTTCCCCAGGTTTTCCCCATGCGAGGGACCATACTCCTGCCAGGGACTGGCGCTAACCCACTCCTCACCGTAGACTGGCTTGTCCTCCAAATCCTCATTCCGCTGGGACAGTGGTATCACACTTGTGGCTCTCCAGGTGTTTTGGACATCAGCTCCCAAAATTCCTTGCCATTGCACAAGCTGGCTAGGGCTTCTGGGAGCTGGAGACCCAAACATCTGGAGGGCCACAAGTTTAACACCTCTGCCTCAACCTATAAGGCAGAAACACATTTCTGCGTTAATTCTTTCTTGCCCTCCCACCAGTCTTAACCTTCCTGACATTTATCCCTTACATTCTCTCCAGTGCCTCTTTCAGGCATTTGGGACCATGCTGTCTGTTACATACAATTGCATGCATTTAAGTCCACCCCGACTTAGGGGGAAAAGCAGTTTGAGACTAGGGTGATTTGGCACACTTTTTTGCAACAACTTATTATTCCTGATGGTCTCTCTAGGATAAATGCGCATTTGAAAGATGGAAGTATTAAGCACACTCACCACTTTTGCTCTTCATTGCAAACCTATTTTAACCCCGAATGAGAGTAATCATTGGAGATTAAATGCATAGCATTGCATTTAACATGCAGTCTGGCCTCGTATCCTGCTGCTAACCTGAAATTCTTCTCTTTTCCTATTCCTGCCCCTCATGCATTTTGCTGGTCTGCATTCTCTCTGCTCGTTGCTCCCCACCATTACTCCTTTGTGCCTCACAGCCCCCTTTCCAGCTTTTATTTCTCCCAATTCTGATCATGTTTCACTTTATGACAGATCTCCTTCTGATGTATGCATACCCTTTCTTTCCCCGGTTTATTCTCATCATGGTTTGAACACCCATCCCTGTACACCAAGAGGAGACTGGAATAACTATCACTACAATATGAGGATGTGGAGGCATGAGAAGCCACTCTGAACCATCTCTTTCACACATTCTGCCCCTCTAGCCAGTCCTGCGCCTCCATCTTGCCACTTCAGGTTCCCACAGGCCTCCGTTTGTCTTGCGTCTATTTTGTCCCCTCAGTCCCTCTTAGTTCCTTTAGCCTAAAATGTGGGAAATTGTGTGTGTGTGTATGTCTCTTCTCTCTCTCTCTCTTTCTCGTGTGCTGGACATAGGGACAGGGCGGTGGTTCTGTCCCCCTTCCACTTGCTGCCACCTGCTGTAACTTATTGTAACTTATTAACGAAGCAGGTCAAACCTTTGTTGACACTCCTGAGAATTAATGATGTTTGGGTGTGAAGGGCTTGGCCCTGGCATCAGCAAAGAGGCCTGGGGCCTGTTTTGTGTCAGAGGCTTCCTTCATGCCAAAGCTGGCTTATGGTTAACAATCTGTCTGTAACTCTAGGGGGATATGAGGGGTCACTTCCCTCCACCCCACAGCTGCTCAGTTGTCTCAAGATAATAAATTCACTTAGTCTATCCCTGGCTTCTGTCTGGTACCATTGCCATGTGTGGGAGAAAACTGTGAACAGGCCTAGAATGGAGTGGGATGCTTTTAGCAAAGTGACACACCATGTTGCGCTCAGAAGATGGAAGGAAAGTACCATGTGTGGAGTGGAATTTTGTGGTAAGGGATCAGGAGATAATCATCATCATCATCATCTATATAAATAAAAATGTAATGTTTGTTTGTGCTATTCACAGAACTCAGAAACCACTGGGGCAATTGACACCAAATTTGAACACTATGTCCCTAACAACCCAATGTATGTTCTCCACTCAAAAAACAACGAAAACCAAAAGCAGAAAGGACTTCTAAACTGCATGTCCACAAAGGAGAAACTGCATGTCTACCGAGACCCATGGCCACGCCCCCTCCTCCTCACGGGGAAACAGCCGGCCGTTAAAGCCAGGCGCACGTGCACGGCCACACACACACACACACACAAGTGAGTGTAGTGGAGGTGGAGGCGCGCCGCATGCAGCCCCTTCTCTTTCCCTCCTATGTCAGGAGAGCAGTCTCCTCCTCCTCCTTTCCCTGTTGGGAAAGCAGCAGAAACGGCAGCAGCAACGGAGCATCCATGCAAGGAAGAAGGGGAGGAGGGGGGGAGGGGGAGGAGGCAAGGAAGGTCCACGGTGCTTGAATGAAGGACCTTCCTTCTCTCCCTCCCTTCCCTTCTTTCCTCCCTTTTCCTTTCCTTTTCTTCTCTCCTTCTTCTTCCCTCCTTCTTCCTCCTTTTCTTCCTTTTCTTCTCCCTCCTCCTTTCCCTTCTCCCCATGAATTGCCTTCACACCTCCCCTGTCTTCATCCAAAGACGGTCTTTCCCTCCTTAAATAAGTCACTTCAACCTCCTCTCATTCCTGTCCCTTTTTTCCCTTTCCCTCCCTCACTTCCTTTTTCCTTCTCCTTCCCTTCTTCCTTCCTTCTTTTTCCCTCCCTCCCTTTCCTCTTCTTTCCCTTTCTTCATTCCCTTCCTCTTCATTTCCTTCCCTCCTCCTTTCTTCATCCCCCTCCTTTCTTTCCCTCCTTCCTTCCTCTCCTTCCTTTCCCTCCTTCTTCCTGTCCCTCCTCCCCTTTTCCTTCCTTCCTGTCCCTCCTTCCTTCCTTTCCTTCTTTTCCCCCCTCTCTCCCTTTCCTCCTTCTTTCCCTTTCATTTCCTTCCCCTTCATTTCCTTCCCTCCCTCCTTTCTTTCCCTCCTTCCTTCCTACTCCCTCCCTCCCTTCCTGTCCCTCCTTCTTTCTTTTCCTTCCTTCCTGTCCCTCCTTCCTTTCCTTTTTTCTAAGATATAAATGCAATATTAAATGGAAGGGACAGTCAAGAAGTAACAAGAGAAGGAGGGAAAAAGGGAAGGAAGGAGATAAGCAGGGAGGGAAAGAAGGAAAGAAAGAAAGATAAAGAAGCAAGGAAGGAGAGAAGGAAATAAAAAAGTGAAAGGAAAAAGAGAGGGAAGGAAGAAGAGAAGGAACAAAAGATAGGGAATGAAGGAAGAAAGGATGTAACCAAAGAGCAAAGAAAGGGAGGAAAGAAACAGGTACAGATAGAAGAAAGATGAGAGGGAAAGAAAAAGAGGAAAGGAAGGAAAGAAGGAAGGAAGGAGAGAAAGGGAGGGAAGGTTGGCCACAGCAATGCGTGGTGGGTACAGCTAGTAAATAAATAAAAATGTAATGTTCGTTTGTGGGATTAACAGAACTCAAAAACCAGTGGGCGAATTGACACCAAATTTGGACACAAGACACCTAACAACCCAATGTATGTCCTTCAATTTTTTTAATTTTGTCATTTGGGAGTTGTAGTTGCTGGGATTTATAGTTCACCTACTATCAAAGAGCATTCTGAACTCCACCAATTATGGCATTGAACCAAACGTGGCACACAGGACTCCCATGACCAACAGAAAACACTAGAAGGGGATTGGTGGGCATTGACCTTGAGTTTGGGAGTTGTAATTCACCTACATCCAGAGAGCACTGTGGACTCAAACAATGGTGGATCTGGGCCAAACTTGGCACAAATCTTCCATATGCCCAAATATGAACACGGATGGAGTTTGGGGGAAATAGACTATGACATTTGGGATTTGTAGTTACTGGGATTTATAGTTCACCTACAATCAAAGAGCATTCTGGACCCCACAATCGACAGAATTGGGGCAAATTCCCCACACAGAACCCCCATGACCAACAGAAACCATCTAGTCCAACTCCCTTCACCAGGGCAAGAAAATGTAATCAGAGCCCTCCTGACAAAGAGCCATCTAGCCATAGATTTGGGGAAAATAGACCTTGACATTATAGAGTTGTAGTTGCTGGGATTTATAGTTCACATACAATCAAAGAGCATCTTGAACTCCACCAACGATGGAATTGAACCAATCTTGGCACACAGAACTCCCATGACTAGCAGAAAATACTGGAAGGGCTTGGTGGGCAATGATCTTGAATAAACCTTATTGGGAAAATATACAAAGTATTACTGAAAATGGAAACAGAACTGATAAAGGATTGTATGCTAAAAAAGCTACAGACCAATCTCCCTGTTGTGCCACCTCTACAAAGTTCTGGAGAGACTTATTCTGCATAGAATTATGGAAAAAATAGACCCATGTCTGATTCCACAGCAAGCTGGCTTCAGGAAAGGCAAAAGCTGCACATCGCAAGTGCTGAACCTGACTCAGCACATAGAAGATGGCTTTGAAAGGCAGCAGATCACAGGAGCTGTCTTCATAGACCTGTCAGCAGCCTATGATACCGTGAACCACCGCCTCCTCCTGAGAAAAATGTATAATATCACAAAGGACTACCACCTCACCCGCCTCATAGGAAACCTGCTACAAAACAGGAGCTTTTTTGTTGAGTTCCAGGGCCAGAGAAGCAGATGGCGGAAACAGAAGAACGGCCTGCCTCAGGGGAGCGTGCTTGCGCCATCCATGTTCAACATCTACACAAATGACCAGCCACTGCCAGAAGGGACAGAGAGTTTCATCTATGCTGATGACCGTGCCATTACTGCTCAAGCAGGGAGCTTTGAGATGGTTGAACAGAAGCTCTCCGAAGCTCTAGGTGCTCTTACTGCCTACTACAGGGAAAACCAGCTGATCCCTAACCCATCTAAAACACAGACATGTGCCTTTCATCTCAAGAACAGAGAAGCATCCCGAGCTCTGAAGATCACCTGGGAAGGAATCCCACTGGAGCATTGCAGCGCACCCAAATACCTGGGAGTCACTCTGGACCGTGCTCTTACCTACAAGAAGCACTGCCTGAACATCAAGCAAAAGTGGGTGCTAGAAACAATATCATACGAAAGCTGACTGGCACAACCTGGGGATCACAACCAGATACAGTGAAGACATCTGCCCTTGCGCTATGCTACTCTGCTGCTGAGTACGCATGCCCAGTGTGGAACACATCTCACCACGCTAAAACAGTGGATGTGGCTCTTAATGAGACATGCCGCATTATCACGGGGTGTCTGCGCCCTACACCACTGGAGAAATTACACTGCTTAGCCGGTGTTGCACCACCTCACATCCGCCAGGAAGTAGCAGCCAATAGTGAAAGGACCAAGGCAGTGACATCTCCAGCTCATCCCCTGTTTGGGTATCAGCCAGCACGCCAACGACTTAAATTTAGACATAGTTTTCTAAGATCTACAGAGACACTCGCTGGAACACCTCAGCAAGCGAGAGTCCAAAAGTGGCAGGCTCAAACCCAGCACCTCAAGCAATGGCTGATACCAAATGAGAGACTCCCCCCTGGGCACACAGAGGACTGGGTGACTTGGAAGGTGCTGAACAGACTGCGTTCTGGCACCACGAGATGCAGAGCCAACCTTCAGAAATGGGGCTACAAAGTGGAATCCTCGACATGCGAGTGTGGAGAGGAGCAAACCACTGACCACCTGCTGCAATGCAACCTGAGCCCTGCCACATGCACAATGGAGGACCTTCTTGCAGCAACACCAGACGCACTCCAAGTGGCCAGATACTGGTCAAAGGACATTTAACCAGCTACCAAACTCACAAGTTGTGTATTGTGTCTGTTTGTTTGCGTTGTTCTGTTAGAAATGTAATATAATGGACTGGCTGCTCTGACACGACAAATACAAAAAAATGCTAAAATGTCAGGCACAACATAGAACACACGGGATTTATAGTTTGTTGTGGTGCCAGAGCTCCCTGCAGGAGGAGAAGGCTCAATATCTCCCAAAACAACAAATCCCAGGATTCTATAGCATTGAGCCAGGGCAGAGGAGCTGCAGCCATAGAGACCCTTGACGCTGGGTCTCTACACTTCCGGACTCTCGTCGAAGCAGTTGTTCCACTCAGTTGCGGGGCTTCATCGCAGAGAGAGACTAAGCGTGAGAATAACCCAATCGCAGCCTTCGCTTTTGTACCGGAAGTCTATGTTGCGACCAACGTATTCGACCTCTTTCCGCGTAACCCAACTTGCAAGGAAAACAGGAAGAGCGCAGGGCTCGTTTCCGGTCGCGTCTCAATGACGTAGTTGAAGTCATCTGGTAAGATCCACGACTGGAAAAGAGGCTTTTCGTCTATCGGGAAGAGAGGAAGGGGATCCAGTCTCTCGTAGGCTCGACCAGGTTTGTTTTATATCATCCGTTTCTGTTTTATTTCAACTGTTTCTTCACCCCACTTCCATCCCCATGCCCTCTCTGTCCTTCAGGTTGGTCTTCACTGTAAAATTAATGCGCTTTGACACCGCTGGGATTTGCAGTTAGGTGAGGCACCAGCCGTCTTTGGCACAGAAGGGCAAAGACCCTGTAAAGCTATAACTCCCATTATTCCGCAACATTGAGCCATGGCAGTTAAAGCGGTGTCAAACTGCCATCATTCTTCAGTGTAGATGCACCATCAATCTTTTATTTGGAAGATATCTATTGTATTGTCGAAGGCTTTCATGGCCGGAATCACTGGGTTGTAGTAGGTTCTCTCCTGACGTTTCGCCTGCATCTATGGCAAGCATCCTCAGAGGTAGTGAGGTCTGTTGGAAATAGGAAAATGGGTTTATATATCTGTTGGAATGTGTCCAGAGGAGGGCGACTAAAATGATCAAGGGTCTGGAGAAAACAGCCCTATGAGGAGCGGCTTAAGGAGCTGGGCATGTTTAGCCTGAAGAAGAGAAGGCTGAGAGGAGATATGATAGCCATGTATAAATATGTGAGAGGAAGCCACAGGGAGGAGGGAGCAAGCTTGTTTTCTGCTTCCCTGGAGACTAGGACGGGGAACAATGGCTTCAAACTACAAGAAGGAGATTCCATCTGAACATGAGGGAAAACTTCCTGACTGTGAGAGCCGTTCAGCAGTGGAACTCTCTGCCCCGGTGGTGTGGTGGAGGCTCCTTCTTTGGAAGCTTTTAAACAGAGGCTGGATGGCCATCTGTCAGGGGTGATTTGAATGCAATATTCCTGCTTCTTGGCAGGGGGTTGGACTGGATGGCCCATGAGGTCTCTTCCAACTCTTTGATTCTATGATTTATATATCTGTGGAATGACCAGGGTGGGACAAAGGACTCTTGTCTGCTGGAGCTAGGTGTGAATGTTTCAACGGACCACCTTGATTAGCATATAATGGCCTGACAGTGCCTGGGGCAATCTTTTGTTGAGAGGTGATTAGATGTCCTTGTTTGTGCTGTTTTGCTGTTGTAATTTTAGAGTTTTTTAATACTGGTTGCCAGATTTTGTTCATTTTCATGGTTTCTTCCTTTCTGTTGAAATTGTCCACATGTCTTGTGGATTTCAATGGCTTCTCTGTGTAGTCTGATATGGTGGTTGTGAGAGTGGTCCAGCATTTCTTTGTTTTCAAATAATATGCTGTATCCAGGTTGGTTCAACTTGTATGCAGAACACATCATGCGATGTGCGGGGCTTGATGAATGCAAAGCTGGGGTGAAAATTGCTGGAAGAAACATTAACAACCTCAGATATGCAGATGACACCACTCTGATGGCCGAAAGGAGGAGCTGAGGAGCCTTCTAATCAAGGTGAAAGAAGAAAGCGCAAAAGCCGGGTTGCAGCTAAACATCAAAAAAACCAAGATTATGACAACAAGAATGATTGACAACTGGAAAATAGAGGGAGAAAATGTGAAGGCCGTGACAGACTTTGTATTTCTAGGTGCAAAGATGACTGCAGATGCAGACTGTGGCCAGGAAATCAGAAGACGCTTACTTCTTGGGAGGAGAGCAATGTCCAGTCTCGATAAAATAGTAAAGAGTAGAGACATCAGACTGGCAACAAAGATCCGCCTAGTCAAAGCCATGGTATTCCCTGTAGTAACCTACGGATGTGAGAGCTGGACCTTAGGGAAGGCTGAGCGAAGGAAGATCGATGCTTTTGAGCTGTGGTGTTGGAGGAAAGTTCTGAGAGTGCCTTGGACTGCGAGAAGATCCAACCAGTCCATCCTCCAGGAAACAAAGCCCGACTGCTCATTGGAGGGAAGGATTCTAGAGACAAAGTTGAAGTACTTTGGTCACATCATGAGGAGATAGCAAAGCCTAGAGAAGACAATTATGCTGGGGAAAGTGGAAGGTAAAAGGAAGAGGGGCCGACCAAGGGCAAGATGGATGGATGGCATCCTTGAAGTGACTGGACTGACCTTGAAGGAGCTGGGGGTGGTGACGGCCGACAGGGAGCTCTGGCGTGGGCTGGTCCATGAGGTCACGAAGAGTCTGAAATGACTGAATGAATACACAATCCAAGTTGGTTCATCAGGTGCTCTGCTATGGCTGACTTCTCTGGTTGAAGTAGTCTGCAGTGCCTTTCATGTTCCTTGATTCGTGTTTGGGCAATGCTGCGTTTGGGGGTCCCTATGTAGACTTGTCCACAGCTGCATGGTACACGGTAGACTCCTGCAGAAGTGAGAGGATCCCTCTTGTCCTTTGCTGAACGTAGCATTTGTTGGATTTTCTTGGTGGGTCTGTAGATAGTTTGTATGTTGTGTTTCCTCATCAGCTTCCCTATGCGGTCAGTGGTTCCCTTGATGTATGGCAGGAACACTTTTCCTCTGGGTGGATCTTCATCGTTACTCTTGTGGCTTGTTCTAGGTCTTGCAGCTCTTCTGATGTCTGAGGTGGAGTATCCATTGGCCTGGAGAGCCCAGTTGAGGTGGTTCAGTTCACCTTGGAGGAGGTGGGGTTTGCAGACACAGCATATTATTTGAGAACACAGAAATGCTGGACCACTCTAACCACCACCATGTCAGATTACACAGAGAAGCCATTGAAATACACAAGCATGTGGACAATTTCAACAGAAAGGAGGAAACCATGAAAATGAACAAAATCTGGCTACCAGTATTAAAAAAACTCTAAAATTACAACAGCAAAACAACAGAGAGGAAATAAACAAGGACATCTAATCACCTCTCAACAAAAGATTGCCCCAGGCACTGCCAGGCCATCACAAGGTGGTCAGTTGAAACATTCACACCTAGCTCCAGCAGACAAGAGTTCTTTGTCCCACCCTGGTCATTCCACAGATATATAAACCCATTTCCTAGTTCCAACAGACCTCACTACCTCTGAGGATGCTTGCCATAGATGCAGGCGAAATGTCAGGAAAAAATGCCTCTAGAACATGGCCATATAGCCTGAAAAAACCTACAACAACCCAGACATTGTAATAAATAAATGTGGTAATAAGAAATAAATAAACATATAATCCAAAAAAGAAAGATAAATGAAGACTTGGTTCCATCCTATCTCCAAGATGTTGCTTTATTTACATGGATGCAAATACAGACATTACAGAATCTGAAAAAAAACCCAAAAAGAAATAGAAAGCACTTTTGATCCCAGGCATTTCAGATAGCAGAGACAGAGCTGGTCAAGGATTTCTTTTTAGGAATTGGGTTATGAGCCAGAGGGAAAAGCCATGGGTTGTATAAAGAAAGTCCCAATTTCAACCTCCAGCCAAAAGGGAGAGAGTCCGCCCAAATGTTTTGGACTGCAAGTCCATGTTTAATGGGGCATCTGGGAGTTGGCCCAAAAGTGCCTCCTTGTAACAGAGAAGAAGTGGGTTTATGGAAAGGCGTTGCTTGTCAGAACAGACAATATACTGCAACTTTGTAAAATACTATGTGCTTTGTGCCTTCCAGGTTCATTGACAACCATGGCGCAGTACAAAGGAGCTGCCAGCGAGGCTGGCCGGGCACTTCAACTGATGAAGAAGAGAGAGCGGCAGCGTGAACATATGGAGCAGATGAGGCAACGCATTGCTGAGGTGATTGGAAGTACAAATGTTGGGGAGGAAGGAGGTAGAAATGAGGTCTTACTGCCTCATCACACTAAAGCTTGGATCCACTTTAAATCCGGTTTCTACCTCCTGCAGAATTCTGGGGTTTCTAGTTTAGTGAGCCCAGAACCTCTCTGACTGGGCAGTATAAAGACCCCTCCCTAAACTACAAGCCCCAGAATTCTGCAGGAGGCAGAAACTGGATTTAAAGTTTGATGGGGTTCTTATTGCATTGCTTGTGCTGCTCACATAAGGGAAGGATGCTCTTCAATACAAAGAATGGTAACAGCCTGTGTGTGTGCATGCTTGTTGTGCGTGCATAACATAATGTATTTTCCTTACTGACAGACTAGCATACATACCCGGTGTTGGAGGGGCTGCTGCTCCCCAGCTTTCATCCCTTCTCTTTCTTTCCTTCCCTCATGCCTGTTCCTACGTTTCCTTCCTTCCTTCTTCCACCTCCCTCCCTCCTTATTTTTCTTCTCCTTTCCCTTCTTTTTCTCTTCCAGTCCCCTTTTTCCTTTCTCCAACTCTGAGAGGATCTACCTCACAACATCTCCATGGCACTCTTTGTGGCTCTCTCCTTCCTCCCTCCATTCCTCTCATACACATGTCATCTTTCTTTCCAAGTGACATTACAGACAGCCACTTCACCCAGTAACAGCCAATCCTTTACCTAGCAAACAACCTTTGTGGTGCAAACAGACCTACTTTGACTTACATATATATAGAGATTACTGTCCTGATTTGTCATCGATCCACTCCTTTGAGCTACATGCAAATCTACCATTTGCCAAAATATATATTCCTGTGCTTTTCTTTTCAATTTCTAACCAAATAGCTTAACTGCTACCTCGTTCCATCAAATACGAGATCTGCCCAAGGGCCGCTTGTGATCTCTTAGGGCTAGCAACCTGAATAACACTGCCGCAAAATGTAGTTGCTAAAAAACCAGTCAAAATATAGAGTTTACATTATGCTTTTAATAAGGGATTCCCCAGTTCACATCTGTCACCTTATATCACACCCAAGCTAGTGTCATGAATGAGCTAAGCCAGGGGTCCTCAAACTAAGGCTCGGGGGCCGGATGCGGCCCTCCAAGGTCGTTTACCCGGCCCTCGCTCAGGGTCAACCTAAGTCTAAAACAACTTGAAAGCACACAACAACAATCCTATCTCATCAGCCGAAAGCAGGCCCACACTTCCCATTGAAATATTAATAAGTTTTGTATTTGGTAAAATTGTTCTTCATTTTAATTATTGTATTGTTTTTAAGTGATTTTTGCAGTACAAATAAAATATGTGCAGTGTGCATAGGAATTCATTCATTTTTTTTATCAAATTATAATCCGGCCCTCCAACAGTTTGAGGGACTGTGACCTGGCCCTCTGTTTAAAAAGTTTGTGGACCCCTGAGCTAAGCAGTAAACCCAGTGCACCCATGTTCAGGTAATACTAGCCAATAATACTTGTCTCATGGTCATCACACTCTGTCCTGACTCAACACACAAAACATAAAAACAGTTTCATTGACATCAGTAACATTTAAATCCCACAAAAGGTGTTTAGCATCAAGGAACAAGAAATTGTTAAAGAATGCTTCCTCCGACTGTTCTGATGGATTTGTAGCTGACATTCACATTGACTTCTCTTTCTTTGTTTTGACCCAGATCCATTCACAGGTACTGCCATTCTCTTCATTCTGGACCTGGGTGACCATTTACTACTACTGCATGGACCTAGCTTTCTTTTCCTGCCCTTTTAAAACTAACTTTACAACCCTGAATAATAATAATGTTCCAGTGTTTAGATCTTTCCCAACAGGGCCTTCTTCTGATAATTTTTTACTCACCTTGCTTGTTTCCTTCTATTCCATGTTGGATTTTAACATGCTGTATATCATTGCTTGAAAGTCTCTCAGATGGATGCTGCCCCATTGCCTTGTTTTGGGCTTTGTTCTGCAAACACTTTGTCTTCCTAACATGACCACAGCATTTCCTGCTTGGTTCTTCTCCTCCTACAGTATAGATTTTAGTAGAAAGATCTCTAGCACTTCCCAATGGTGTTCCCAATGGTGTTGTAATTTTATATCTTTAATGTTATTCATATGTTTTATGTAATTATGATGTTGTTGTTTATTGCTTGTGTTTTGGTTTTATTTTGCTGTAATTGGTTGTTTGGGCTTGGCCTCATGTAAGCCGCCCCAAGTCCCCGTTGGGAAGATGGTGGCGGGGTATACATAAAGATTATTATTATTATTATTATTATTATTATTATTATTAACAAGATGATATTATTATTATTAACAAGCAGACACTCTGCTGGCTGTTGAATTGGATCACATGTTGGACATTTCCCAAGTGGCAGGGTATAAATAAAGTTTTATTATTATTAATAGTAATAATTCTCTCCAATTTGTTATAATTCTCACTATGGCCAATGTACCTTTCTCATGGAAAGTGACTTGTGATCAAAGTAGTGAAATTCCTTTGAGCAATATCACCTGTGTAGCTGTGTGAATTCTTGGAATATGTGTATCTCCAGCTGAATTTATTATTTTCTTAATGGAAAGGGGATAAATCTTTTTTTAAGAAAAATAAATGAAAATGTTTTGGGAAGAAAGTATGTAATTTGTCCAAGGCCTTTAGATTGAAGTGTGCGGTAAAGTCTGATGTAGCTGGGATAAAGGTAGCAATTCTTGGAAAATGAAAAAATACCCCCAAGTGTCTTGAAAGACCTCCTGGAGGCATTTTCCCATCATTTTAGAATCATCTTTCTCCTAAATGACAGAAGGGCCTCCGGTGCTCCTTAGATGACCTTGAGGAAATTTTAAAAATATGGAACTCGAGGAACAGAGAGGCTCCACAAAAATAGCCCGTGGGTTGTGTGCAGCTTGGGGACCACACCTTGCAAGCTACCTCATTCTAGCAGGCGTCTTCTATGGAAATAATATTCTTTATCTTCCTTTCTACATGTCCCTGCAGCCTACTGGGCTACCCAAAAACTTCACCCAAGCCTTTTCCCTTTTTGGAGTGAGCTTTGAAGGCACAAAAGTGATTATGAGGAGCTAAAAAGAGGAGTGAACCCTTCCAGATTTTGCTGTTGGAAACTGTTCCATTAGGATAGCAGTGTTGGATCCTTTCCCTAGAGCAGGGGTCCTCAAACTAAGGCCCAGGGGCCAGATACGGCCCTCCAAGGTCATTTACCTGGCCCTCGCTCAGGGTCAACCTAGCTCTGAACCGATTTGAAAGCACACAACAACAACAATCCTATCTCATCAGCCAAAAGCAGGCCCACACTTCCCATTGAAATACTAATAAGTTTATATTTGTTTAAATTGTTCTTCAGTTTAATTATTGTATTGCATTTAAGTGTTTTTTGCACTACAAATAAAAGATGTGCAGTGTGTATAGGAATTCATTCTTTTTTTTTTCAAATTATAATCCGACCCTCCAACAGTTTGAGGAACTGTGACCTGGCCCTCTGTTAGAGTATGAGTGATTATTTTTGTCACTGAAATAGAGGAGAGCACTTGACTCAGTGGCTACACCGATTCAGTTACCAAGTGTTGTTATTCTTATATGTGTATAATTTCCCATTGATTCAGTGAGTTTGCTCTAGTTATAGCTAACAGTCAGATTTAGCCTACTGGTGTCAGGCCAGGTTTTGTTAGGTAGCTGTCACCCCCCCCCCCCCATCACATTGCCTTGTACTTCTCTTCTCCTTGGGACAGTAGCAGATTTCTGGAGCTTTATCCAGACCTTGAAGTCATTTACTTTTGAGGTTGAGGATATCTCCTGGAATCGTCTACTAATCATAACCATTAGGTTATGAGATTACGAAAGTTGTGGTGCATAACAGGAACTCCTCTAGGCTTTGAGTTTGGTCCAAGAAGTTTGGTTTAGGAATTGGGAGGTCATGGAGCTTCTCTATTTTTGTAGCAAATGTGAACTATACTTTCCCCATGGCAGGAAAACATCATGAAATCAAACATCGACAAGAAATTCTCTGCCCATTACGATGCAGTGGAAGCAGAGCTGAAGTCCAGCACAGTGGGTAAGTGTTTCTGTGTACTATTCAAAAATGAACCCAATGTTCTTCTTCCTAACCCCATATTGGCTATATTGATTCCACTTGCTATACACTCAAACCTAAAAAGTCTGTTGCCTTACCTGTCTACAGGCCTGGTGACCCTGAATGACATGAAGGCCAAGCAAGAAGCGCTTGTAAAGGAACGGGAGAAGCAGCTGGCAAAAAAAGAACAGTCCAAAGAGCTGCAGCTGTGAGTTGTTGGATGGACTTGTATGTATTCTAGGTAGCTTAAGGCCCCTTCTACACAGATGTATAAAATTCAGATTATCTGATTTGAACTGGATTATCTGGCAGTGTAGACTCAGATAATCCAGTTCAAAGCAGATAATGTGGATTATCTGTCTTGATATTCTGGATGATATGGTAGTGTAGAAGAGCCCTAAGATAAGAAATTTATTCTGTATTTATTGAAGATGAAATGATAGATAAGAACTGGATTGCTTACCGTATTTACTCAAGTATAAGCCGGCCCGAATATAAGCCCTGGCACTTAATTTTACCACAAAAAACTGGGAAAACCTATTGACTCAAGTATAAGCCTAAGGTGGGAAATGCAGCAGCAGCTATTGGTAAATTTCAACATAAAAATAGATACCAATAAAATTACATTAAGTTAAAATGTTTTTGAATATTTACATAAAACTAATTTAAGATAAGACTGTCCAACTCTGATTAAACCATTATTCTAACCTCCTTCAATGTAAATGTGCTTATGTATCCTTTTAATCATAAAAAAGAGTAAAATAATAAATGTAATAAAATTATAGAGTAAAATAATAAATAGTAATAATAAAAATAATAAATAGAGTAAAATAATGCAACAATAACAACAATAATAAAGTAAAATAATAAATGTAATAATAACAATACATAGAGTAAAATAATAAATGTAATAAAAATAATAATGGAGTAATATATTGTAAATGTCATAATAATAATAACAGTAAAATAATAAATAACATTGACTCAAGTATAAACCAATGGGGGCTTTTTCAGCCTTAAATTAATGCTGAAAAGCTCGGCTTATATTCAAGTATATACAGTAACAGGTTATGAATGTAGGACAGCAGTAAGAATGTAAGACTGATGAGATTTTTTCGGGGGAGAGCAGATACGCCCTAGTAGTGAGGGACCAAATAAAAGAGGGAGAGATCCAAATATTGTACCATATTTTCTTTTAGATCTTTGTGAAAGCTTTACGAGAGATGTTTCAGCCTTTTAAAATAGGTAACAACACAAAAGTTGGGAAACCGCTCTGTGATTGCGTTGTGGGTAAAAAAAACTATGATTGAGGCTCCAAAAGGGTTGAATTTGACTCTAGAGCCTGAGATTTCCCTTCTCTGATGTAAGCTGTTAGTTGGAAGTGCACATTTCATACAGACTGATTTCTGTATTCCTTCAAGCAACACACAATTAACTTGCATGGAACTTTCTCAACAAGATTTGTTCAGAGGGGGTTTGGCCTTGCCTTGCCCTGAGGTCAAGAGAATGTGACTTGCCCAAATTCATACAGTGAGTTTCATGGCGGGGTGGGGACTCAAACCCTGGTCTTCAGAATTGTAGTCCAACACTGAAACTATTACACTACATTGACTCCTTCCCTCTAGCATTCTTTTAGTCAGGCATCCACAAACTCCATCCCTCCAACTTTTTGGCCTTCCAGTTCCCAGAAGCCCGAGCCAACTTGTTGAATGGTCAGGAATTCTGGTAGCTGGAGGCCCAAACAGCTGGACGGCCGGAGTTTGAGGGTGCCTACTCCTAATGTTTCTCAGTTCCCTACCTTTCCCAAAGATCCCACCAAAATGCACACCCTCTTCCCACATTTCTCAGAGAGGATTGTGCTTTGGGCCTTACAGGAAGCTGGAGCGGATGCGGGAGCGAGAGCGCAAGCAGGAACAGAAACGTAAGATCTCAAGCTTATCCTTCACTTTGGATGAAGAAGAGGAAGAGGATGGAGCTGAGGAGGAGGAGGACGAAGTCGAGCTGGAGCAGGAAGGTGAGAGGAACAGCACTTTTGCAGTGGAGAACACCTCAGTAGGTCTGGGATAATGATGGCAAGTAGGACCACAGAAAACAGATGGGACGGGCTATTGGGTTGAAGCAGTGGGATTCTGAAAATAGGTTCCTATTCATTCATATATCCTCATTCTCCCTAGAGCTCCCTCCCAAGAAGAAGAAATTGGGGAAGAACCCAGACGTGGACACTAGTTTCCTGCCTGATCGTGACCGTGAGGTAAGGTGCTTACATACCTTCCAGAGACCGCATCTCTGTTTATGAACCCACACAATCTCTTCGATCATCTGGAGAAGCCCTGCTCACATCACAAACGCGATTGGTGGGGATGAGGGACAGGGCCTTCTCGGTGGTGGCCCCTCCACTCTGGAACTCTCTTCCTAAAGACATCAGGCAAGCCCCAATGCTGACAATTTTTTGGAGGAGCTTGAAAACATGATTGTTCCAGTGTGCCTTCCCAGAATAAGGAAACTCCAATCATTATTTCCCCAAACACATTTTATCAGAGATCCAGGATATCTGCATTTCCATCCCCCTCCAAACACTGACCCTTTTTACCCGGTAATGCCCAGCACATTTTAATTTTAATTATTACATTTGGCCTTGCCATAGATTTTGATTGCGTCATGGTGTGTTGTTAATGTTTATTGCTTTGTTTTTGAGTTTATTTTGCTGTATTGTTGTTGTTGTTGTTTTTACTGATGTATTTGGGCTTGGCCTCTTGTAAGCCGCACCGAGTCCTCCGGGAGATGGTAGCGGGGTACAAATAAAGGTTTATTATTATTATTATTATTATTATTATAAAGCCACTTTCATGTATTGGATTGGGACTAGGGAAGTACAGGTCCCAGTCCCCATTTAGGTCTGAAACTCCTTGAGTGACCTTGGACTAGTCACATTGTCTTAGCCTGATGCTCTTGACTCAATTATTGTGAGGATAAAGTGATAGAGAAAAGAGCCTCATGCACCAGTCTTTATCTTATCAATAGCGAACCGAAGGTACAGTTGTAACGTATTTAAAAAGCACAAAGTTTTAAAACTTGGCATTATATTAAACATCCATTGACTAATAGCTGGCCACTTGGAGTGCCTCTGGTGTTGGTTTAGAACAGGGATCCTCAAACTTTTTAAACAGAGGGGCAGTTCACAGTCCCTCAAACTGTTGGAGGACCGGATTATAATTTGAAAAAAAAAAACTATATATGAATTCCTATGCACACTGCACATATCTTATTTGTAGTGCAAAAAAACACTTAATTTCAATAAATAAATAATTACAATAATTAAAATGAAGAACCATTTTAGCAAATTTAAAATTATTAGTATTTCAATGGGAAGTGTGGGCCTGCTTTTGGCTGATGAGATAGGATTGTTGTTGTTGTGTGCTTTCAAGTCGCTTCAGACTTAGGTTGATGCTGAGTGAGGGCCGGGTAAATGACCTTGGAGGGCCACATCCCCTGCTTTAGAAGATCCTCCATTGTGCATGTGGCAGGGCTCAGACTGCATTGAAATAGGTGGTCAGTGGTTTGCTCTTCTCCACACTCGCATGTTGTGGACTCCACTTTGTAGCCCCATTTCTTAAGGTTGGCTCTGCATCTCGTGGTACCAGAGTGCAGCCTGTTTACCTCCTTCCAAGTTGCCCAGTGTCTTATTTGGTATCGGCTCCAGAAGTGACCAAGAGGGATAAAATGTACCGTATATTCTGGTGTATAAGACTACTTTTTAACCCTAGAAAATCTTCTCAAAAATCAGGGGTCATCTTATACACCAGGAGTAGTCTTATATGCGGGAATAGTCTTATGCACAGGAGCCGTCTTATATGCGGGAGTAGTCTTATACACAGGGTCATCTTATACACTGGAGTAGCCTTATGCATGGGAGTCGTCTTATAAAGCGGATGCTGAAACTTCCAATACGAATTGGAGAATCTGTTGTTGCGGCATATTGTGGGGGGAGCTCAAAAATGGCAGGGGCCGCATCCCTTGCATATGCAGCGACTGTATCTAAGGATTAAGGGCGACGCTGTAGAAGTATGGTAGAAGAAAATCCATTAATCAGGATTCGTGGACCTGTGGTGAGGTGAAGGGGCGCCTCACCCGGGAGTTGTAAGTGAAGGGCCCGGGATATGGAAAAAAGAGAGAGTGGCTCTGGGCCCAGAAAAACACACCTCTTTTACCTGTCTGGCCTGCCCTTGGGTCCTATTACCATACCTCCTCCTCTGCCTCTCAGATCTCGCTCCTGAAGACTGCAGTGAAGCGGTGCAGGTGCGCATGTGCGAGATCTGAGAGGCAGAGAAGGAGGTACAGTAATAGGAAGATTACCATATTGAAATCAAATCTGATGCTTTTAAAATTTTTATTTGTTGTGTGTTGGAAGAGGGGTAGTCTTATACGGCGAGTATATCCCAAACTCTATATTTTAACTGGAAAAGTTGGGGGTCGTCTTATACGCCCAGTCATCTTATATGCCGGAAAATACGGGTAATTAATAATGAATTAAAGGAAAGAGAGGTATAAAAATACAAGTATACTATGATCGCCATATTTGCAGGACAGTAACCTGCAGCCTCATTTATCCACTTCTCACAAAATCTGACCTTTTTAGGCTTTTTAAAGTCCTCCAGTGTGACTCTAGTATTCATGGGCAAGAAGTCCTTCATTTCAATAGGGTTTACGATTAACTGCAGTTTCATGTATCCACAAAAAGTCTGGGAATGTATCTCTTACAGATACAGGGGTCATACTGTGCTAAGTAAATGGTGCCTGTGAAAGTACTCAGTTCCCTGCCCAATTTCATCTTCTAAGGCACTTTGATCTGTTTTCACCCTTTGGATAAGTCCTCCTTGCGGCACAAACTAATGAGTTGTTGCCCCCTTTCCTCCTAATTTTCAGGAAGAAGAAAACCGCCTGCGAGAAGAGCTGCGCCAGGAGTGGGAGGGCAAACAGGAGAAAATTAAGAGTGAGTGGAGGAACACAATGCTTCTGTGGCAGGGAGTCTCGGGCAGGAGGACAATCCTTATAGGGAGTTACCAGAGCTCATCAGGCTTGGTTCTCTCCTCAGGGTTTTTTTAAAATTTATTTTCCTTCCCATCTCTGGCTAGGTGAAGAAATTGAAATTACCTTCAGCTACTGGGATGGCTCTGGCCACCGCCGAACTGTCAAGGTGAGATTTGCTCCTTGCCAATGTTATCACAGTTTAGGAAAAGAAGCAAGTTGCTGGGTCTGGAGGATGTTAGGAGTCAGCCATTACACTAATAATAAATAATAATAATAAATGTTTTTATTTGCACCCCACCACCATCTCCCCGAACGGACTCTAGCCGGCTAACAAAGCACTCAAGGCGCCACACATAAAATAGAATTACATATCATCAAAACAATACACAGTTTGAATACAAACAATTGACAAAATTTAAAAAAAATAAGAATTGTAAAACACTAGCAGATAAAGCATGTGCAGCCGCTTTCGATAATATGGCTCCATCCCACAGAATTCTGGGATTTATAGTTTACTGAAAGCCAAGACCTCTCTGGTGGAGAATTTCAAAGGTCCCTCACTAAACTATGAACCCCAGAATACTCTTTAAAATGCTAGTGTGATGAGGCATGGTGTGTGCTTTAACCCTTCTCTATACTATCCAAAATGTGTGTTTGTGTGTGTGTGTGTGTGACTCCTGTTTTCTCCGCAGTGCAGATGAAGAAGGGGAACACAATTCAGCAGTTTCTACAAAAAGCTCTGGAGATCTTGCGTAAGGACTTCAGTGAACTCCGGTAAAGACCTTGGCAGAGCAGGCTTTACTCCCATGGTTCAGGGTGCTGCAGGGCTACATTTCTAGCTCCTTTATCCCAAAGTTATATACAGTCTATAAAATGTAAAGTACTTGTGTCCTTTGTGGTCTGAAACACACGCTTGGATCTTGTGCCTGCATAGAGACACTGTCCAGAATCTTCTATCTAGCAAAGCTTTGGTAGTAGCTTTGCTTTTCCTCCCTAACAAAGATGCACCTAGTGCTGTTTTCTCAGTTCCAGTATGTCTGTCATGCTATAGAGACAGGGCTTCAGGCCAAATTTCTACCTCCCTTCACCTGAAGTATAAAGTGATTGTGCTCTAACAAGTATTGGAATTGATTCTGTTAGACCCAGGTTCAAATCTTGGCTTTGTGCAAAGTCACTGTCTCTTAGCTTCAAATCTTCATCTATGAAATGGAAGTGATTCATTAATAGATAAACTCATTGCACAAGGGCTGTTACCTAGTCAGATACTATACATAACCTACCTCGCCCAGGCATCTTCAGGAACACATTGAGATAGTAAATATTGTATTTTCAGATGCATGCATGGCCAATGAGTGAAGCTATAAAGCTTATAATGTACATAGATCCTTTTTGTAATAGAGGGTAAAAATGTTTTTGCTTCAGTGTTTTAGAGCGTTTATGTAGGCTTTTAACCAGACTGGCTCACATACATGGTTATAGAAAGCAAACTAAAGCAGGAATGCATGTAGTTTGAGACTCATGTTTCAGTTGGGGTTTTCTGATGATCAGACATTGGAGTAGTGGGGAGATGGAGAAAGAGAGCAAAAGCAACTGGGTTCAATCTCTAATGTGTGTTTCCCTCCACAGATCTGCTGGTGTGGAACAACTCATGTACATCAAGGAAGATCTCATAATCCCACATGTGAGTGGATAACCCTGGCCCAGCATGTTAAAACTATTTTGCTCTTCAGCACTTTTCTCTTTTGTTGTCTGCCATAATGTATTAGAGAGCCAGTGTCTGAATACACACATCTTTTCCATCTAGAGTATTATAACTCACTTATTATAAATCCATCATGCCTCTTGCCACCACTGGTACCAATAATAACGTATATACTATAATATATCCCACAGCTGATTACCACTTTAAAGGACTATAAGTAGTATCACACCACTGGACATCAGTAAGAAGGAAAATATCACAACCAGTGACGCGAGGCTGGAGGCTTATTGATAATATGTCTGGGCAAGATTATTCTTCCCCCCAAAATTCACTTTTCCCTGTGCCTCCAATTTGGTAGTGAGATGTAGATAGATGTGTGTAACGATAGAGTGAACACTGCTTGTCTTTTAGTCTTCTTTTGGTTTAAAGCTGCCACCAACCCAAGTTGCCTTAGGATTTTAAAATGAGTTTTTTAGGTAAACTTTTCCCACTTCTGCCAACACTGCTCTTCCCTTAGCTCCCAGAATGATTGTAGAATCAGGCTGCTAAAGATGCTGGAATTATCACAAAGGATGAATGATAGATTGAGAAATGATAGAGACTTTTTTTGAAAGTTAAATAGAAAAAGATTTATTTATAAAGACAGACAACTAACTACTTCTGAGAGGCCCAAAACGCTTGACTTGTTACAAAAGTATTACAGCTTGATGGTTGCTAGAATAAGTATCTTCACTTTGTTACCTACAGAGCTAATCAAACAGATCTAGCTGCTAGTAACAAAAATCCCTCACTCTACTTCAAAGAAATAGTAATGAGTTTCTGACTTATCTATCCTCGGTAGTCCCCTGAGTTATCAGCTAACTCTTCCCAGAGTTCCTCCTGCTAAGTAACTCAGCCTAGAGAGTTAGTTAGCCTGCATCTATGGCAGACACCGTGAGAGGTTGTGAAGTCTCACAACCTCTGAGGATGCCTGCCATAGATGCAGGTCAAACATCAGGAGAGAATGCTTCTGGAACATGGCCATATAGCCCAGAAAACACACAACAAAAACCCATTATTACCTTTGTATATTGTGGGGTCCCTGGTGACGCAGCAGGTTAAACTGTTGAGCTGCAGAACTTGCTGGCCAAAGGTTACTGGTTTGAATCCGGGGAGCGGGGTGAGGTCCCACTACTAGGCCCAGCTTCTGCCAACCTAGCAGTTCGAAAACATGCACATGTGAGTAGATCAATAGGTACTGCTACTGCAGGAAAGTAATGGCACTCCATGCAGTCATGCTGGCCACATAACCTTGGAGGTGTCTACGGACAATGCCGGCTCTTCGGCTTAGAAATGGAGATGAGCACCAATCCCCAGAGTCAGACACAACTAGACTTAATGTCAGGGGAAACCTTTACCTTTTACATTGTCTACAGTCTGTATATACCTACTTAAAATTTAATTTCTACAGTTTTATTCTATGCAGGCTATAGATAGTATACTTGTATATACTCGAGTATAAGTCTAATTTTTCAGCCCTTTTTTAAGGCTGAAAAAGTCCCCCTCGGCTTATATTTGAGTCAAGGTTATTTATTATTTTATTCTGTTATTATTATTATTATTATTATTATTATATTTATTTTACTCTATTTATTATTACTATATTTATCATTTTACTCTATTATTACATTCATTATTTTACTTTATTGTTGTTATTACATTTATTGTTTTACTCTATAATTGTTATTATTGCATTTATTATTTTACCCTATTATTGGAAGGATACGTAAGCACATTTACATTGAAGAAGGTGAGAATAATGGTTTAATCAGAGTTGGACAGTCTTATCTTATATTACAATTCTATGTAAATATTCAAAAACATTTAATTTACTGATGCCTCAATTAATGTAATTGTGTTGGTATCTAATTGTATTGGTATCTATGAATTGACCAGTAGCTGCTGCCTTTCCCACCCTTGGCTTATACTCGAGTCAATACGTTTTCCCAGTTTTTTAATGGTAAAATTAGGTGCCTCGGCTTATATTTGGGTCGGCTTATATTCGCGTATATACGGTACAAATATGATATTCTATGTTTACATTTTATTCTGTCATGATTTTGTATAGTTCCCTGAAGAAGACCTTATGAGTAAATGTAGGCTGAAATTTGTTAGGATTTTCTACCCAAGAGAAACATTGTTCTTCACTCTGCACCTCCTATGGCATTTGCCATCTGCTACAAATGGGGTGAATCCACTGACTGGATTCCTCAGTCTAGACTGGGGAATACTTGGGTAAGATATCTTCCATAAACTTGTGCCTTTCTGTCCTTCTAGCATCACAGCTTCTATGACTTCATTGTTACCAAGGCTCGAGGGAAAAGTGGTAAGTCTCTTTCCTGTCTGTTTGGAGTCCTTCCTTTCTGGAGGGTTTGGGATGATAGGGGTAGAGCATGGGGATGGATAAAGGGCTTCAGCAATTGTGGAAACAGGCAAAAGGGATATAGAAAGAGAAGAAACGGGGGAATGCCCATTTCAGGGACTCTGTATGAGAAGAACTGAAAGCTGTAATGTAGCCTTGTCCAAACTGGTGCCCACTAGGGACTTTGGACTACAATTTCCATAATTTCTCACCACTATGTCTGATGAAGGACTGTGGGAATTGTAACTGAATGCAGTCGATTGGAGGCAAGCAGTGTCAGTGAGTACAAGGATGGGTGGGGAAGGTATGTAGTTTGCACTGTGGAGTATCACAGTGCAATATATTTGAGGAGAAAGGTTCAGTTTGTGGAGTGGGAACTGCTTCATTTTGAACTTTTTCTCATACATGTGCATACTCTTTAATGCAGGGCCGCTCTTCAATTTTGACGTCCATGATGATGTTCGGCTTTTGAGTGATGCTACGGTGGAAAAAGATGAGGTAAGAGGAAAGTGACTGGATCTCACTTAATGCCCTAGATCAGAGGTCCACAAACTTTTTAAACAGAGGGCCAGGTCACAGTCCCTCAAACTGTTAGAGGGCCAGATTATCATTTGAAAAAAAACATGAATGAATTCCTATGCACACTGCACATATCTTATTTGTAGTGCAAAAACCACTTAAAAACAATACAATAATTAAAATGAAGAACAATTTAATAAATATAAACTTATTAGTATTTCAGTGGAAAGTGTGGGCCTACTTTTGGCGGATGAGATAGGATTGTTGTTGTTGTGTGCTTTCAAGTCGTTTCAGACTTAAGCTGACCCTGAGTGAGGGCCAGATAAATGACCTTGGGGGCTGTATTTGGCCCCCGGGCCTTAGTTTGAGGACCCCTTCCTGAAGTTTGAAGTTCCTGAAGTTTGAGTTTGAGGACACCTTCAGGCCTACTTCCTGAATGAACTCTATATGGAACAAAGAAAGCAGAGCTAAATGTCACTCCACTCTTAAATTCAGATAGTCAGTTCTACCCCTCTCCTTCCTCCTTTTATAGGCAAATCCAATATAATTTGGAGAAAATTTGCTGATCTCTTCCCTGTTCTTTTATTTATTTATTTATTTATTTATTTATTTCGATGACTTCTACCCCACCCTTCTCACCCTCGAGGGGGGACTCAGGGCGGCTTACAAAGAAGGCACATTCGTTGCCTATGTCAAATATACATACATACAAAACAGCAATTAAACAATTAACAGGTTAAAATCATCAGTACGTAACACAGTCAGTAAACTAATCTCATGCTCAGTGTTCAGAGTTCCATAAATCCATTCCGTTCAGTCAATTCCTGTCCATCATCAAGGTCCTTCCTCTAGCTGCCAGAACGTCCAAATGCCTGGTCCCACATCCAAGTTTTCAATTTTTTCTAAATGACAAGAGGGAAGTCGCCGATCTAATCTCCCCGGGGAGTGAATTCCACAGGTGAGGGGCCACCACCGAGAAGGCCCTGCTCCTCGTCCCCGCCAGCCTCACTTGTGATAGAGGCAGGGTCGAGAGCAGGGCCTCCCCAGAAGATCTTAAACTCCGAGGTGGGACGTAGAGGGAGATCCGTTTGGACAGATACACTGGGCCGGAACCGTATAGGGTTTTGTAGGTCAAAACCAGCACTTTGAATTGTGCTCGGAATTGGATTGGCAGCCAGTGGAGCTGACATAACAGGGGGGTGGTATGCACCCTGTATGCCGCTCCGGTGAGCAATCTGGCTGCCTCCCGCTGGACTATTTGGAGTTTCCAAGCAGTCTTCAAAGGCAACCCCACGTAGAGTGCGTTGCATTAATCTAATCAGGATGTAACAAGAGCGTGGACCACCGTGGCCAGATCCAACTTCCCAAGGTACGGGCTCAGCTGGCGCACAATTTTTAATTGTGCAAAAGCTCTCCCGGCCACCGCTGAGACCTGGGGTTCCAGGCTCAGCGATGAGTCCAGGATCACTCCCAGCTGCGAACCTGCGTCTTCAGGGGGAGTGTAACCCCGTCTAACACAGGCTGTAACCCTATGCCCTGTTCGGCCTTACGACTGAGTATCTAAATACTCTAAAAGCACCAGATCCCGTCTGATCTTGGAAGCTAAACAAGGTCAAGCCTGGCTATTACTTGGGTGGAAGGCTGCCAACAAATACTAAACGGTGCAGGCTGCGTTTCAGAGGAAGGAACTGGCAAAACAAACCTCCTGAGTATATATGGAATCACCTGAAGTCCACAGGCAACTTGAACATGTGCACATGCTCACTCACCTCTTTTCTGAGGTGGATGAGCACTGATTTCACAGCTACACTGATTTTTCTTTCTAACCCTCCAGTCCCATGCAGGCAAGGTTGTACTTCGCAGCTGGTATGAGAAGAACAAACACATCTTCCCTGCAAGCCGGTGGGAGCCCTATGACCCAGAGAAGAAGTGGGACAAGTATACGGTAGGGAATGAAGGGAGCTGACTGGGCTGGGAAAAGTTGACTGAGTCAAATGGGAAATTCCAGGAAAAGGCATGGCAAGCAATTGCATGATTTCTATAACTATGCCAACCTAAAATCAGCTGCTCTAATACTCCAATTTATATTCACACAACTTCCCAATAGCTACAATTTCTGAATCCATAGATTCAATTAACCACAATAACAAAGATCTATATAAATAAAAATGTAATGTTCGTTAATGGGATTAACATAATTCAAAAACTACTGGACGAATTGCCCCCAAATTTGGCCACAAGACACCTACTAACCCAAGGAGTGAACCATCACTCAAAAATTTGATTTTGTCATTTGGGAGTTGTAGTTGCTGGGATTTATAGTTTACCTACAATCAAAGAGCATTTTGAACACCAATGATAGAATTGAACCAAACGTGACACACAGGACTCCCATGACCCATATCTGTGGTCATTCCACAGATATATAAACCCCTTTTTCCTAGTTCCAATAGACCTCACTACCTTTGAGGATGCTTGCCATAGATGCAGGCGAAACGTCAGGAGAGAATGCCTCTAGACCATGGCCATACAGCCCGAAAAAACCTACAACAACCCAGTGATTCCGGCCATGAAAGCCTTCAACAATACTGGTGAGGTGGGCATTGACCTTGAGTTTGGGAGTTGTAGTTCACATACATCCAGAGAGCACTGTGGACTCAAACAATGATGGATCTGGACCAAACTTGGCACAAATATTCCATATGCCCAATTATGAACACAGATGGAGTTTGGGGAAAATAGACCTTGACATTTGGGAGTTATAGTTACTAGGATTTATAGCTTACTAATCAAAGAGCATTCTGAACTCCACCAAGGACAATTGGGGCAAACTTCCCACACAGAACCCCCTTGACCAACAGAAAATACTTAAGGCCACCTAGTCCAACTCCCTTCACCAGGACAAGGAAACATAATCAAAGCCCTTTTGACAAAAGAGCCATCCAGCCATAGATATAGATAGATATGATTCTCACACACAGAGATAAAGATTTGAAAGGGACCCCTAAAGAAGGACAATGGTATGTTGCATGTTCCAGAGTATCTCCACATCAACACTGACAAAGAAACAGCAAGAAATACTGTTTACCCACAAGCATAAAGAAATTACATATATTATTTTCCAGGAATCTGGGGCACCTTGGTCTCTTCGTTTCTAGGCCTGTTCCTGGAGTTGTTTGGGATATCTGATTTAGAAAATGATTTTATGATGTTTTTAGTTGTATTTGTGTATGTGGGGGCAATGTAAATATGTAAATGAATTTTGGGGGAAGGTATTTGGAGAAATAGAAGCTATAATGGCTATGAAGATAGGGAAAAGTGCAAGCGTTGCACTGTTGTCACTATATAATGTTAAGAAATGGAAAAAAAACCCAGAAAGATGCAATAGATAACATATTAACTGCAGCAAGATTACTGATAGCGAGGAACTGGAAAGGTTTATTTATTTGTCGTGTCAGAGCAACCAGTCAATTATATTACATTTCTAACAGAACAAAGCAAACAAACAGACAAAATACAAACTTGTGAGTCTGGTAGTTGGTTAAATGTCCTTTGACCAGTATCTGGCCACTTGGAGTGCCTCTGGTGTTGCTGCAAGAAGGTCCTCCATTGTGCATGTAGCAGGGCTCAGGGTGCATTGCAGCAGGTGGTCAGTGGTTTGCTCTTTCCACACTCGCATGTCCAGGATTCCACTTTGTGGTCCCATTTCTTGAGGTTGGCTCTGCATCTCGTGGTGCCAGGGCGCAGTCTGTTCAGCGCCTTCCAAGTCGCCCAGTTTTCTGTGTGCCCAGGAGGGAGTCTCTCATTTGGTATCAGCCATTGGTTGAGGTTCTAGGTTTGAGCCTGCCACTTTTGGACTCTCGTTTGCTGAGGTGTTCCAGCGAGTGTGTCTATAGATCTTAGAAAGCCATTTCTAAATTTAAGTCATTGACGTGCTGGCTGATACCCAAACGGGATGAGCTGGAGATATCTCTGCCTTGGTCCTTTCACTATTGGCTGCTACTTCCCTGGAAAGGTAAAATAAATATACCAACTGAAGAATTGTATAAAGATTGGATTTACTTGCCATCAGCCTAATCAGCATGAGTCGGGGATGATAGGAACTGTAGTAGAACAACATTTGGAGTCTGACAGATTCCCCATTCATATTCTAGTGAAATATTCACTTTCTAAATTACAGTATGTAGTAATGCAATAACACTAAAGCCTAATTGTGTAATATATTTCTGACAGAAAGGTCCATTTCTTATTGATTTAAAAACAAGACTTAATTTATGCTGCAGTCATTTACATCATGGCTTGGAATACTGCCATTCAGAAGAGAGTTGACTTTCTGGATCAAAGAAAAGAAGGGCCTTTCCCCTTCCCTTCAAGTGGATATTGACAGTTTCTGCCTAATATATAACCAAAATGGGAAAGCATTGTGAGAGGTTGTGTGACATGAGCTAGTACTCAAAACTAGTGGAAATTTAGTGCGGCGGCTTCTGAATGATGATGTTAGAATTGCCTGGAAGAAGAAAAAAAAAGAGTAAAAAGAGCCACCCTTCTATAAATAGCAGATTGGTTCAACAGCCTTCTGTGTTGTTTATTTAGAACACTTTCTATCTCACCTTTCCAAGATGTGAATTTGCTTACAACAGTTTTTGCGGGGGAAAGTGATAAAAATACAATGAACTGCCAAATCTAACAGATCTCAGCAGTCTGTAATTTTTGCAGCCAACATCCTTTTCTATAAGTGGTGATTCTTATATATATTTTTCGAAGTGCTAAATAATAAGGATATTTTTTTAATCGAGTCAGGAGCAAACCAAACTGTTGTATTGCATTTTTTAACAAACAAACAAACAAGGCACAAAGTTTGCAAGCTTGGTAGTTGTTTATATGCCCTTTGACCAGTAGCTGGCCACTTGGAGTGCCTCTGGTGTTGCCGCAAGAAGGTCCTCCATTGTGCATGTGGCAGGGCTCAGGTTGCATTGCAGCAGGTCAGTGGTTTGCTCTTCTCCACACTCGCATGTCGTGGATTCCACTTTGTAGCCCCATTTCTTAAGGTTGGCTCTGCATCTCGTGGTGCCAGAGCGCAGTCTGTTCAGCGCCTTCCAAGTTGCCCAGTCTTCTGTGTGCCCAGGAGGGAGTCTCTCATTTGGTATCAGCCATTGGTTGAGGTTCTGGGTTTGAGCCTGCCACTTTTGGACTCTTGTTTGCTGAGGTGTTCCAGCAAGTGTCTCTGTAGATCTTAGAAAACTATTTCTTGATTTAAGTTGTTGACATGCTGGCTGATACCCAAACAGGGGATGAGCTGGAGATGTCACTGCGTTGGTCCTTTCACTATTGGTTGCTACTTCCCGGCGGATGTCAAGTGGTGCAATACATCTACACAAATGACCAGCCACTGCCAGAAGGGACAGAGAGTTTCATCTATGCTGATGATTTGCCATTACCGCTCAAGCAGGGAGCTGTGAGATGGTTGAACAGAAGCTCTCCAAAGCTCTAGGTGCTCTTACTGCCTACTACAGGGAAAACCAGCTGATCCCCAACCCATCTAAAACACAGACATGCGCCTTTCATCTTAAGAACAGACAAGCATCCCTAGCTCTGAGGATTACCTGGGAAGGAATCCCACTGGAGCATTGCAGCACACCCAAATATCTGGACCGTGCTCTGACCTACAAGAAGCACTGCCTGAATATCAAGCGAAAAGTGGGCGCTAGAAACAATATCATACGAAAGCTGACTGGCACAACCTGGAGATCACAACCAGACACAGTGAAGACATCTGCCCTTGCACTATGCTACTCTGCTGCTGAGTATGCATGCCCAGTGTGGAACACATCTCACCATGCTAAAACAGTGGATGTGGCTCTCAATTAGACATGCCGCATTATCACGAGGTGTCTGCGCCGTATACCACTGGAGAAATTACACTGTTTAACCAGTATTGCACCACCTGACATCCACCGGGATATAGCAACCAATAGTGAAAGGACCAAGGCAGTGACATCTCCAGCTCATCCCCTGTTTGGGTATCCGCCAGCACATCAACGACTTAAATTAAGAAATAGTTTTCTAAGATCTACAGAGACACTTGCTGGAACACCTCAGCAAGCGAGAGTCCCAAAGTGGCAGGCTCAAACTCAAAACCTCAATCAATGGCTGATACCAAATGAGAGACTCCCCCCTGGGCACACAGAGGACTGGGCGACTTGGAAGGCGCTGAACAGGCTGCGCTCTGGCACCACAAGATGCAGAGCCAACCTTAGGAAATAGGGCTACAAAGTGGAATCCGCGACATGCGAGTGTGGAGAAGAGCAAACTACAGGCCACCTGCTACAATGCAACCTGAACCCTGCCACATGCACAATGGAGGACCTTCTTGTAGTAACACCAGAGGCACTCCAAGTGGCCAGATACTGGTCAAAGGATATCTAATCAACTACCAAGCTTGCAAACTTTGTGCTTTATTTGTTTGTTTGTTTGTTAAAAATGCAATACAACTGTTTAGTTTGCTCCTGACGCGATAAATAAATAAAATCACAATATTAAAATACACTGCTTAAAACTGTCTTGGTTTGTATGCACAGATAGATGTAGTATGAAAGCTGGTTAAAATAACAGCAAAAAGGAGTGATGATGATGTGAAATTATAGATATCCAAAGGAGAGAAGTGATGGCTAACAAGGGCTTTGTACGTTTTCCTTTAAATACACTATATGGCTTTGTATGAAACCCGACCAGAATTTAATATTTTCCTTATCCTTCTTCATCTAACTGGCAGCTTGAAATCTGCCTGCTGACTCAACTGGGACATATGTTTTGTTTTCTTGCTATATGGCGTCTTCTGCTTGCTCCCAAAAATTATGGTCCTTAATTGGCATACCCGTGGCCTTTACATTTCCTTTCCCGTGTTTATTAATGATGTTCCAAAAGGTCATTCACATCACTTTTTGAAATCAATGGTCCAGCCAATTGAGGCTCCATGGTCACCCTAAGCATGAAGAAATGTCATTTGGTTGAACTGTGTGATGGGCTGAGCCAGATATGGAGAATCTCATTCCACTTTCAGCCTGGTTGCCTAAGGAATTAGGGGCTAATGGAATAGGAATAACTCCTTCCCTTTTTCTCCTCCCCACAGATCCGGTGAGCAGCTGTCCGTGTGTTGCTTGTGGTCATGTGAGGCCTTCCCTGTTCTTCTGGAGTAATTCCTTTTTAGTCAAGCCCAGACTCTCCAACTTTGTCTTTGTACCTCTTCCTTGAGTGCGTCGACCCTTGGTGAAAATAAACATTGCCTTTCCCAAATGGAAAGTGACTCATTGTGCTTCTTTGGGTCTGCTTTAGTTCTGCAGTCAGAGCATGGTTTGAGGGCATGGTTTTCAGACTTGAGATGTAAATTCCGGCAGGTAGGCTACCTCTGAGGATGCTTGCCATAGATGCAGGCGAAACGTCAGGAGAGAATGCCTCTAGACAATGGCCATATAGCCCGAAAAAACCTACAACAACCCATAATCATTTTGTTTGTGCTTCCTGATTCCCGAAATATATACAGGCTTTGGAGTAGAAGCGGTTCGAGTCTTAGGGAAGGCATTTTGGAACAGCCATTTAGCAAGCTGGATTGCAGTAGCCATAAGTGTTCCCGCCTTCTGAAACTCTTGGGGATCAAACTCATGGCCTTATAATGTCAATAATTTTTCCAACGCCTGATGTCATATGGAACAGAAAGCTTCCAATGTAAACCAAGGCTGGTGACAGGAAAAGAACATGAATTCCTAGGAAAAAGAAGTTAAACATTTGTTTAACATTGTTTAACATTGTTAAACATTTGCTTGGACACCAGATGGAGCTATAACTTCATGATTTAACATCCTTGATTCTCTTATGTTGCATTTTAAATGGAAATGGTTTCTCCATTGTGAAATGTTTGTGCAATTCATCAAGGTCCAGCAGGACACTATATTACAGGCTACTTCTCCTGTCTCTCAAATACAATGCCTTGGCCTGGCCCAGGCTCTTTATAATTTAAAACAAAGGTAATGGGGATCCTTCATGAACTATTGGACTGTCACTCCTATCATCTCTCATAATAATAATATACTTTATTTATGAGCTCTGCGAGTGCAGCATTTTTCCAAATGAAGCAGAGTGTGCTTGAGGATCGGGACATCTGTAGGGAGACCAAGGTTCTTGTTTATAAAGCTATTGTCCTCCCAACCCTACTATACGCCTGCGAGACATGGACAGTCTACAGCAGGGGTCCTCAAACTAAGGCCCGGGGCCGGATATGGCCCTCCAAGGTCATTTACCCGGCCCTCGCTCAAGGTCACCCTAATTCTGAAACGTCTGGAAAGCACAACAACAATCCTATCTTATCAGCCAAAAAAACAGGTCCGCACTTCCCACTGAAATACTAATAAATTTATATTTGTTAAAAACAATACAATAATTAAAATGAAGAACAATTTTAAGTGTTTTTTGCACTACAAATAAGATAGGTGCAGTGTGCATAGGAATTCATTCATTTTTTTTCAAATTATAATCCGGCCCTCCAACAGTTTAAGGGACTGTGACCTGGCCCTCTGTTTAAAAAGTTTGAGGACCCCTGATCTACAGACATCACATGCAACTCCTGGAACGATTCCATCAGTGCTGCCTCCAGAAAATCCTGCAAATCTCTTGGGAAGACAAGCGGACAAATGTCAGCATGCTGGAAAAAGCAAAGACCACCAGCATTGAAGCGATGGTCCTCGGCCATCAACTCCACTGGACCGGCCATGTTGTCCAGATGCCCAACCACTATCTCCCAAAGCGGTTGCTCTACTCCGAACTCAAGAACGGAAAACAATGTTGGAGGACAGGAAAAGAGATTTAAAGATGGGCTCAAAGCCAACCTTAAAAATTCTGGCATAGACACTGAGAACTGGGAAGCCCTGGCCCTTGAGTGCTCCAGTTGGCGGTCAGCTGTGACCAGCAAATTACTGCAGAATTTGAAGAGGCACGAATGGAGGGCAAAAGAGTGAAATATGCCAAGAAGAAGGCGCGTCAAGCCAACCCTGACTGGGACTGCCTTCCACCTGGAAACCAATGCCCTCACTGTGGGAGAAGATGCAGATCAAGAATAGGGCTCCACAGTCACCTATGGACCCACCACCAGGATACTACACTTGGAGGACCAGGGGCAGCTCAACCTATTACATAAGGTAAGCATTTGCAGTATAGTTGATTTTGCCCAAGGGCGCTCTTGAGGCGCTCTTGGGGGGAAATAGACCTTGACATATGCGAGTTGTAGTTACTGGGATGTATAGTTCACCTACAATCAAATAGCATTCTGAACTCCACCAATGATGGAATTGAACCAAATATGGCACACAGAACTCCCACAACGAACAGAAAATATATACCAGTGATTGGTTGGGGGGGAGGGCAAAATACTGTTTGCTTACCATTGAAAATTACCTAGGGCCGCCTCTGCCTATTGATCAACTCACATTAGTGTTTTCGAACGGCTAGGTAAGAAGCTAGTCTGACGGTGGGAACTCACCCCAACCCGTGGCTTGAACTGCCAACCTTCCAGTCGGCAAGTTTTTCTACAGCTGGCGGTTTAATCCACTGTGCTAACCGTGGCCATCATCACTGGCAGTACTTCCATTCCTTCTATAAAGTTTTGATCTCATGCATACTCTTTTAGGAATGAACACTACTGGACTTATTGTTTACTTCAGAGGATATATATATACTAACCATTACAATGCTGTTAAATATAACACATGGGACATTTCAACCCAAGCTGTTCCCATCCAAGCTGGGATAGCACAGCACCTGCAGTGTCCCAGAACAAAACTTCAGCCAACTTTAACTCAACCAAATCTACCTACAAATATGCTGTACACATTTGTAAGCTAATATGCCTGCTACTATTGTATGCCATTTTAATATGAGTTTAATTCAGGGATGGGGAATCGTGGTAGTTCTGATGTCAGATTACAACTTCCACAATCCTTCTCGGACACAGGAAAAGGCTTTACTACCATCACTGATGACTAAAACGTGTAAAGGATTCTTTGCCAATGGTTATGGGTGATGATAATTATTGTCTAATGTAAAAGCTGTAGCTATGGAGGGGTGATGCAAGCTATCACCCCATAATAAAAATCATCCCCCACCCAATTATTTTCACCTTCAGTCTGTAGGTTTCTAATATTGCAGTAACTTTTTTTACTTCAGTTGAACACTTACAAATGTGGTTTAGACATCAAAAGAAAAGAGGCAAGTCATCAAGCAAAGGAGAACATATAATAGTTCTGGGGCAAGCAATGTCTTGCTCTTTGCACTGCTAGAAATATAAATTGGAAGAAGGGGTGGATTCGGTCACATACTGCAAAGTGCTGTCTCATTAAAATATACAAGGTGTGGGCAAAGGATAACTTGGAGACTATAGGTGGTCTCCCAAGTTTGTTTTGGCCACTCTCAGTTCCTCTAGGCCAGGGGTCCTCAAACTTTTTAAATAGAGGGCCAGGTCACACTCCCTCAAACTGTTGGAGGGCCGGATTATAATTTGAAGAAAAAAGAACATGAATTCCTATGCACACTGCACATATCTTATTCGTAGTGCAAAAAACACTTAAAAAACTATAGAATAATTAAAATGAAGAACCATTTTAGGAAATTTAAAATTATTAGTATTTCAATGGGAAGTGTGGGCCTGCTTTTGGCTGTTGAGATAGGATTGTTCCCAAGAATGACTTTGCAATAGGACATCTTGGAAATCCACACATTTACAAAACTTGCAAGGCATTTTGTGGGGAAATGTGCAAATTCAATACAAGCTTTATTGTATTTTTCTGCATACAACAGAAAAATATGCATGAGTTTCCATTTGAGGCAGGTGGAGCCAATTCATAAATGAGAGTGAACCAGAATGCAGGGTTAGAAGTTGAGAAACCCAGAAAGATTGATGGGTTTCCACATCCATACTGTCTGTTTCTTGTTTCATGGTTCTTTATTTTGAATTGAAACGTAGTCTTACTGAATAAGCAACTATTCATTGACATTAAAAAAAATATGGCAAGTCTATAAGAAGCATGGGATGCAGGATAAAATACAACAGCCTTCTACTCCCTCCAAAACCTCTAAAAACTTCAGGCATTCATGAAAAATAAAGCATGTCTGAGGTTTTGAGCAGATGTCATAATTTTCCTCATAAACGCCAACCAAAAGGCAAATTCTTGAGGAGCGTAGCTGTGTTGGCACATTCTGACATGGTTGGGTGTTGTGCTTCAAGTTTCAGGGATGTTAGTCCAGGGTTTTCTATTACACAAGAACAAAGATTCAGCAGAAATTCTCCATGGATCCAAAAGAAGTTTTCAATAAAAATTAATGCTAATAGTGAATGCCTCCCCCTTGGAGATAGTTTTCCAGATAAAACTTTGGGTAGGGCTGTTTGAGTTTAGAAACTTCAGATCAGAAGGAACGGAAATACAGGCAGTCCCAAAGGACAAAAAAGATAGGTTCTTTAGGTTTGTACTTAAGTTGAATTTGTATGTAAGCTAGAACAGATACATCCATATCTTAGCTTTGGATGGCATAGGGAACGGTTAACCATAGTAATAACTATGTGAGGCTTGTAGATCAGTTTTAGTATTTGTTTGTTTGTATCAGGGTGTTTGTCCTAGATAGAGCTGTGTTAGTTGTTGTAGTGTAGTTTTATATATCACTAGCCACACATTGCTGTGGCCCAGTCTGGTGATCTGGAAAATAAAGTAATGAGAAAGTGTTGGTTTCTAATATATGTAATTTCTTTATGCTTGTGGGTAAACAGTATTTCTTGCTGTTTCTTTGTCAGTGTTGATGTGGAGAGTGTCTGGTTTGCCTACTCTGAAACATGCAATATATAATTGTCTTTCTTTAGGGGTCCCTTTCAAATCTATGATACTATCTATGATACAATATCTCTCTGTATGTGAATCATATCTATCTATATCTATGGCTGGATGGATCTTTGTCAGGAGGGCTTTGATTAGATTTTCTTGCCCTGGTGAAGAGAGTTGGACTGGATGGCCTTAAGTATTTTCTGTTGGTCATGGGGGTTCTGTGTGGGAAATTTGCCCCAATTCTGTCATTTGTGGGGTTGAGAATGCTCTTTGATTGTAGGTGAACTATAAATTCCAGTAACTACAACTCCCAAAATATCAAGGTCTATTTCCCTCAAACTCCATCTGTGTTCATATTTGGGCATATGAAATATTTGTGCCAAGTTTGGTCCAGATCCATCATTGTTTGAGTCCACAGTGCTCTCTGCATGTAGGTGAACT